GCAGTTTACCACAATGCAACATCTTCCCTCCCACTTCCTCCCCATAGTTACCTCTTTCCAGTGTCCATCCCTCCCTACATTCCTGGCCCCTAAGCTGTCTCCCTGTGCATAAGCAGCCCTTCTTTCTCCCATGATTGTTCTCTCCAAGGAGTGTATCTACTTGAGGTAAATGTTCAACCCATATGCCTGTCTTTTGTTTGGCTGGAAACTACAGGTGTGGGTTCAATTCCAGATCTGAAGGGCAGCTAGGGGTCATAGTCTCAGTGGTTCCACCAGGCTCTAAGTCAATGAGGATTTTAAAACTTTTTACATTCTGAGAAATTGTAAAGAATTTTCAGTTATTCTGACATATATTTAAGAATAAAAAGGTCCACCAAAATCTATGACCAATATTATTTTCAAATTCCCTTAAGTTATTAATATATGCTGATTTATCCTTCAGTTTAATGTAAACGTCATCTGTTAGGACACTATCATAATCTCTGTAGGGATATTTGAAGAGTAATGGTTGTCTAAATAGTATTTTTAGTTGTGCTAATATAAAATTATGGAAATCCATATACACTGTTAAGTCATTATTGAATATATTAGCTCTTTGTTTAGTGTTATGAAATATTTTATGTATGCTGAAGTATTTATCCAATGTTTAAGTAATATATGGAATGAAGTAATAAAATGAACAGAAAATTTAACATGCAACTTGAAAATAGTTTTAAAACCTTCTGACTGATACATTATATATATATATATATATATAATGGAAACAACTCACAAAAATCATGTATATATGCCATTTTAATGTGTGTGTTAACTCTTCAAAAGAAGGATCCATCATAGGGGAATAAGTCTATGCTTTGATATACTTACTCTACTCCAAGATGTTACAACAGATGAAATAACTTCTATAGAAAAGCCGAGACTTAACATAACTATATTGTAATACCCAAATGAAATAATATTCATAACAAGAAAAATGATATTAACAATAAATTATAAGCATATAAAAACAATAGTTCAAAACCAAAGAAAATTATCATAAAAAGAATACTCAATAGTTGAGATAAAATCAGATTGGGTAGGGGACACTGAGCTAATGTTAAGTGGTAAAGAGTAATGGAAAAAAATTCAGAAATGATAATGGTTAAACATGATGAACATATTTAATGTCACTGAACTGTACATAGGAAGATTATTGAAATGGCTTTCTTTGTTACCTACATATTTACCACAATTTAAAAAAAAAAGAGAGAGAGAGACTGGAGACAACTGAGTATAAGATTAGTGAACTAGAAGATTGTAAGAGAGGTTCACCCAGAATGCAGTACTAAACAACCATTAAACTAAACAAATTTCAAACCCACCAGCCACTCCTCGAAGGAAGGTAGGGCAATCTACTTCCGTAGAAATACCATGTCTCAGAAACCCAAGGAGGGGTCGCTAGGAGTCGGGGCTGACTTGGTGGCACATAACAACAACAACAAACATATTTAAAACTTACCCCCAAAAAAATGTCATACATAATGGTGAAAATATAGTAGCATTTCTATTAAAACCAAGGCAAGGCAAGCATGCTGATACTGCAACACCTCTTCAACATTATACTGAAGGAACTAACAAATGCAAATAACGAAGAAAATGCAGTAAGGAGTATAAACAGTGGGATGAAAATGACAAAATTATTCTCTGTAGACATTGTGATTTTTCTGTGTAGAAATATCCAAGTTATTTTACAGATAAAATTATTAGAGAGTTCCATATCATTGATGACTAGATCACCATACTAAAATCAATAGCTTCTCTATTCACTAGTAACAAGCATATAAAACAGATGCAAGAAAGAATTTCCTTTCCAACAGCAACACAAACTATAAGGTACTTCACAAAAACATAGTAAAAATCTTCATAGAGAAAAGTTGAAGAATATAAAGGAAGGCCTGTATATTCTAAAGATGATGAAAACTATGTCACCTCTCTAAACATTAGTCCACAACTTCAACACAACTCCAGTTACAGTATTAATGGTATTTTTCATTAAACTTGATCTTTATAGATATATGGAATAACAAAAGTGTAAGAATAGTCAAAATAATTTGGAAGAAAAATTAAAAAGTGGGGGCAATTGCCCTGTCATATCATAACTTTTCTTAAAGTTATGATAATTAAACAGCACATGGGAATCAACAAAGGTAATGGCATACAGGATTCACACAGTCACACACACAAAAAAAAACAGATAGATAGACACACACATACACAAACTTAATCTATAGCAGAGGTGGCATTAAAGTGTAAAGTGTAAGAAATAATTGGTAATTATTTCTGAAATGACTGGTTATTTATGTGGAGGGTAAAAAAGTAGCTCCCTAACTCACATAATACACAAAAATAAATTTCATGTAGGTTAAAGACCTAACATGAAAAACAAAACACTAAATATTTTTAAAGTAGACATAGGATACTATCATCACAACTTTGAAATGCAGGAAATGTTAAAAATCATAAATTAGAAAGGAAAAGAATCAATAATTTTAGGAATATTGAAATTTAAGCTTCTATATTTAAAATGGCACCACAAACAAAGGGAAAACACCATCCAGAAACTGGGAAAGATACATGTCACCATTATAGTAGACAAAGATATATGAGGGAATATGTTTTGGTATTTTTCACACAACAGAATCTTACACAGCAATTAAAAATGAACACTATCAGCATAAATCTAAAAGATGTAATGAGCTCTAAATCTTTATTTAGAGAAAAGAGCACATTGCAGAATAAGTATAACATGATATGGTATGGATTTAAAATAGGCCAAAAAAAATTATGAGTACATGCATATGTAGTAAAAAGGTAAAAATATTCGTGAGAATAACAGATGCCTCAGAAACCCAAGGAGAGGTTGCTATGAGTCAAATCGACTCGAGGGCAGTGAGTTTGGTTTGGTTTTTGGTTTATATCCAAGAGAGGAGCTTGGTGGTGCACTGCTTAAGGGCTCACCTGCAACCAAAAGATCTGTAGTTTGAACCTACCAGCCATTCTGTGAGAGAAAGATGTGACAGATTGCTTCCATAAAGATTTAGAGCCTTGGAAACCCTATGGGGCAGTTCTACTCTGTTCTATAAAGTCACTATGAGTCAGACTCAACAGCAATAGGTTTGGTTTTTTGGTATACCCAGAATGAGTAATTACCACAAGGGAGGGAGGGATGGGACTGTAATTAGGAGAGGTTCTAGAAGGATTCCTCTCTTTCTGTAGGTTTGTTTTTAAAATTGACCTCCAATAACCATAGTAATAATTGTTTCAGGCAAGAATTCTCAATGGTGAAAGCTTATTTGGAAATAGAATAGTTATATAGTCTCAAAGTATCTCCATACGAAATACTTACTAATACCAAGGAAAAATAGTAATTTAAAAGTGGAGAAATCTGGAGTCATTACCTCAACCAAATGATCAACGTTAACATTAGCAGTAATGGGACAAAGATACCATGTGCCTCCTGATACGATGCACTGAGGAGGATATAGCACTTTTCTGCAGTATTCCTGCCACAGCCCATGTGATCCAAACCTAATCATTAAAATAAAATAAAAATCAGACAAGCCCAAATGAGGGAACTTCTATAAAATAACTGGACAGTTCTCTTCAAAAATAAGGAGTCATACGAGATAAAGAAAGACTGTGGAAACTGTTCCAGATTAAATACGACTGAAGAGGCATAACTAGATTTAGTGTGTGATCCTGGTTTGGTTCCTAGACCACAAAGTTTTTTTTTCTTTTATACAAAAATACATGATTGGGACAAATGGAAAATCTGAGTAAGATCTGTAGATTAGATAATAGTACTTGATGACAATTTTCCGATTTTGATAACTATATTTCTTTCTATCATGAGAATGTCCTCCATTTTAGGTAATACAAGCTGATGTCTTTAGGAGTAAAGGGATAGCATATCTGCGACTTACTTTAAAAACAGTGAAGAAAATATACATACCGAGAAATATATATGTGTATATATTTAGCTATATATCAAGATAGAGATATATATCTAGATATTTTTAGCTATATATCAAGATAGAGATATATATCTAGATATATGTCTCAAGATAGAGATAGAGGGAGAGAAAATGAAACTAAACACAGTAAAATGGTAACATTCGGGCCAGTAGGGGTAGAGAGTATATGGGCATTCTTTGTACTATTCTTGCAACTTTTCTGTAAGTCTGAAATTATTTCAAAATAAAAAATATAAAAACTGATCCCAATTAAATATGGCAAGATGTTAAGATTTGATAACACTGAATTGTATGTACACAGATTTTAGTCACAGTATTTTCTATACTCACTTGTGTATTTCAAAAATTCCAAATTTTATTTTTGAATGTATGATGCATAAGTACGTAAAAATGAAACAGGAGACTCATTGTCTTGTATTTTTATACTCTTAGAATACACTAAAGATCAGAAAAAGGACTTGGCAACTTTAGACAGCTTTGAGTGACTGCCTTTCCATGTGGTGAAAAACCCCTTCCTGCTCTGGCTTTAGCCAGTAGAACCACGTTCGGTTCCCTTAATGGTCTATGCTTCTTCTCACTGCTAAACATTTGTACTGAGGTTCCAGAACTACTCCAGCCTCTTTACTGACCCAATCCTGTCCTTTCAGATTCAGCTTCAATCAGGTCCTGAGAAAGTCTTTCCTGACCCCGGAATCTAGGTGGCTGTGTATTCCCACATCACCTAGTGCTCCCCACCATCACAGCAGTTACCTAGTCTATCCCACTACTCTGTTGACTGTCCTTCACTATGTTGTAAGCTTCCTGAGGGCAGGGGCTATATCTCCAGCATCAAGCAAATTATCAGGCAAATGACAGTCACCCAATTCATTATTTGATGACTCAAAATTTAAACACAGGTGTTGAAGTTAAATGCCAGCCACCAAGAACAGAAATTCAAAAGATGTAACCTTATAAGATAATGTAGCTAATGCTTTTGAATTGATCTTACTGTCTCCAAATATAAAATAAGAAGTGGAAGATGTTTGGAGCAAGTGCAGCAGCAGCCTTGAATGTTGAGTAATAATTTCCTAATAACTGACATCAAACTCACACTCGTTTACACCATTCTTATTAATGCTGAGAAAAAGACCCTTGTCTGTACTACTTTTTAAGAGCTACTTTTACGGTATCTTAGAACTCTTTGACTCTGGAAAGTAACTGAAAGTCACAAGGCTAACATAATAAACAGGTAACCTGGGTTTGTCTGAGCGGGTGCAGAAATGAGTTAGGCCTGTGAGCGTCGCTGTTGACCATCTCAGGAACGAAAGGCAGCGAGACTTCCAGTCCAACATTCTGGCTCTCACAACACAAAAGAGCTACTAATTTGGCCACACAAGCTTCCGGGAGGCAAAGAAATTCAGCCCCAGCAGCCCCACCAGACCTCTCCAGAGTGACCTAGCTCCATGAATGCCGTCTCTTCGGACTCAGGAATAGATATTGGAATCTCGCACTGGATGCTGGAACTTGACTCGGAGAGAAGACTGCAGCCGAGGGAAATGGCGGCTCGGCAAAAGTTCCCACCCTGCGGAAGGCTGGTCCTGCTGTGCTTGCTTTTGGCGGCCCTGTGGGAGGCCGCGGCTGGGCAGATGCGCTATTCTGTGCCAGAAGAGATCGACAAGGGCGCTTTCGTGGGCAACATCGCCAAAGACTTGGGGTTGGAGCCCCTGGCACTGGCAGAACGGGGAGTCCGCATCGTCTCCAGAGGTAGGACGCAGCTTTTCTCTCTGAACCCGCGAATGGGCAGCTTGATCACCGCGGACAGGATAGACCGCGAGGAGCTCTGCGCTCAGAGCGCGCCGTGTCTGGTGAATTTTAACATACTTCTGGAAGATACACTGAATATTTATTCAGTAGAGGTGGAAATAACAGATATTAATGATAACGCCCCTCGCTTTGGAGTAGAACAATTGGAACTAAAAATCAGTGAAACGACTACTCCAGGATTCCGGATTCCGCTTAAGAGTGCTCATGATGCGGACGTAGGAGAGAACACCCTCCAGAAGTATGAACTCAACCCAAATGACCACTTCTCTCTGGACGTGCGAAGCGGAGCGGATGGGAACAAGTATCCAGAGCTGGTGTTGCAGCGTGCCCTGGACCGCGAAGAAGAGGCCCTTCACCACCTCCTTCTCTTGGCTTACGACGGGGGCGACCCTGTCCGATCTGGCACCTCACGAATCCGAGTGACAGTCCTGGACGTGAACGACAATGCGCCTGCTTTTACTCAGCCTGAGTACCATGTAAGTGTTCCGGAGAATACGCCCATAGGCACCCGGATACTCACTGTAACCGCCACTGACGCAGATGACGGATACAATGCTCAAGTAGCATATTTTCTAGAAAAAAAGCCTGGAGAAACCTCAGAGGTATTTGAGCTTAAGTCAACATCTGGAGATATAGTGATCATAAAAAAGCTGGATTATGAAGACGCCAAATTCCATGAAATTGATATTGAAGCTCAGGATGGTCCTGGCCTTCTAACCAGGACAAAGGTCATTGTCACGGTTCTGGACATAAATGACAATGCCCCAGAATTTTACATGACATCTGTTACTAGCTCAGTTCCTGAAGACTGTCCTCCAGGAACCATAATTGCACTTTTCAACGTACATGACAGAGATTCAGGGGCGAACTCCTTCATCGAATGCTCACTCCCTGAGAGTCTTCCTTTCAAGTTAGAAAGGTCAGTGGACAATTACTACAGACTAGTTACAACCAACCCCCTGGACAGGGAACAGGTTTCCTTTTACAACATCACTGTGACAGCCACAGATGGAGGGAACCCATCTCTGTCTACAGATGCTCAAGTTTTACTGCAGGTGTCAGACATCAACGACAACCCTCCTGCCTTCCTTCACACGTCCTACTCTGCCTACATTCCTGAAAACAATCTCAGAGGAGCCTCCATCTTTTCCGTGATGGCGTATGACCCCGACAGCGACAACAACGCCCATGTCACTTATTCCTTGGCAGAGAAGACCATACAGGGGACACCTGTGTCCTCCTTTGTCTCCATCAACTCCGACACAGGAGTCTTATATGCGCTGCACTCCTTTGACTTTGAGCAGTTCCGCGACCTGCAGTTGTGGGTGACAGCACGGGACAGCGGGGACCCATCGCTCAGCAGCAATGTGTCGCTAAGCCTGTTAGTGCTGGACCAGAACGACAACGCACCCGAGATCCTGTACCCCGCCCTTCCCATTGACGGCTCCACCGGCGTGGAACTAGCACCCCGCTCTGCAGAGCCCGGCTACCTGGTGACCAAGGTGGTGGCGGTGGACAGAGACTCAGGTCAGAACGCTTGGCTGTCCTACCGCCTGCTCAAGGCCAGCGAGCCAGGGCTCTTCACGGTTGGGGTGCACACCGGCGAGGTGCGCACGGCGCGAGCCCTGCAGGACAGAGACGCGCTGAAGCAGAGCCTCGTGGTGGCCGTCCAGGACCATGGCCAACCTCCTCTCTCAGCCACCGTCACGTTCACCGTGGCGGTGGCCGACAGCATCCCTGACGTCCTAGCGGATCTAGGCAACCTTGAGCCCTCTCGCGATTCTGACGCCTCCGACGTCACACTGTACCTGGTGGTAGCTGTGGCCGCTGTTTCTTGCGTCTTCCTCGCCTTTGTCATTGTGCTCCTTGCGCTGAGGGTGCGTCGCTGGCACCAGTCTCGCTTGCTCCAGACCGCTAGCGCAGGTATGGCCGGCGTGCGGGGCTCCCACTTTGTGGGCGTGGACGGAGTTCGCGCCTTCCTGCAGACCTATTCTCATGAAGTCTCCCTCACCGCGGACTCGCGGAAGAGTCACCTGATCTTCCCTCAGCCCAATTACGCAGACACACTCATCAGCCAAGAGAGCTGTGAGAAAAAGGATTTTGTGTCGGCATCACAATCTCTGCTTGAAGGTAAAGGAGAAGAAACAGTTTCTCAGGTAAACTATCTGTGAAGCACAGTATATTTAGAAGCTATATTGCTAATAAATAAATTACCCAACATACTTAGTTGCCACCACCATTTGCTATATCTCTTCTATTTCTCATATTTCCTTGAGAATATATCAGTTTGTAGGAAATGAGTCCTGGTGAATCATTTCTAAGTAGTGCTAAGTGTTTACAGACCGTGAGGAGAGGAGAATGTGTGTAAATCAGAATAGATGGATAGAGGTGAAATTTAGGTTATGAAATGAGCTCTGCACTAGCAACTTGGGTATCTGGGCTTTCTGTCCCTAGGAAAAGCTCTTCATCTGCCTGGGGCAACGGTTCTTTCTTTAAAATATGAAATTTGGATTTTATGTTTTCTCAATCCTCTTCTTCCTTAAAAATTTAAGGCTTTTATGTTTTATTTGAATCTGGTTGTGCACAGTGAAGTGCCTTGGTTAGTTCTTTCTTGCTCAGTTAAACTTCAGTTTAAAAATAAATTTCTTCCTTTTAATTAATCTGCATGCCCTTCCCTATTATGAAAAAGATGGAAGTTCAGAAATATAAATTCTTTACGATGTTTCAGGAAGGTTTGTGATGGTACATATGCTTCGTTTAAAAAACATCTCATCACCACCTTTAAATAGCTATATGTTCTTGGAAGAAGTGACTGAGTTATCATTGGCTCTAAGATTGCCCAGTCTTCCTTCCGAGGAGTGGCCAGTGGGTTTGAACCACCAGCCTTCTGGTTAGCAGTCAAATGCCTTACACACTCCATACCCGAGCTCCCAATAAATTGGTAGAATAATAGTAAACAACATTTATCTTTGTTGTTATTTTTTATTTTTCTCATATCTGGAGATAATATTGCCTTCTTACCCTTAAAAATAACGTATCTTAGTATGAAAAAAAACATATCTTTATTATAATTACACTTAAAGATACAGGGAGATCACATCAGAAGATCACCCCTAAAGATCTTCTTTACACATCTCTCTTCTCAAAGTTTCCCACTAACAGCAGCTGTTAAAAATTTCCCACTTCCTTAACCAGCCCCCACTTCCCTTTACAACCACACTGTGTCTCTTCCCCATTCCCCTTCCTATGTTGTCTTTTTAACTTAACAACAGAGAACACACTAATAGTCTATGTAATAGAATCCTTTTCATTTTGATTTGATGCTAAGTATGTACTGCATGAGCCATCATCATATTGAAGTGCTGTGGTTCTTTATAATATTTAGGGACATTTGATAAGGTAAAATTTGTTGGAGGCGTGATGTATTCCATTGTGTTCATTACTATTGTATAGTTCTTTCTGAGGTCAAATTTGAACTTACTGTGGAACAACATGTCATAAGATCTTCACTTGCAAGTAAAATAGTCAAGCAGTCCAAACGTGTTTAGCAACTCTTCATCAGAAAAAAATACCTTGTGCACAGGAATGTAGTGCGTCAAAACTGAAATCACAAACAAATTGCTGTGGAGTCAGATCCGACTCATAGCGACCCCTCCTTGGGTTTCCGAAGAGGTGCTTCAGGAGTAAAATAAATACAAGAAAAGGAACTCTGGAACATAAAATAGAAATTTCTCTCTACTATTGATGGATTTTTAAATATTCTCTTCACGCTCTAGATTTAGGCAACATGACCTTCTATAAGCATCCCGGAGGTCTCTGCCCTTTCTCTCTCACATCTAGGCATTGTCATTGCTGTTCTCTGTCTTTCTCCAGCCTTTGCCCTGATCTACTCCTCTCAGACTTCCTGGGAAAGACTTTGTTAACTTCCAAGCCAGGTTGGTGGTCCTCCCATAGCCTTCAGCATCCCCCATTAGAGTACTAATTTCACTGCACTGTAATTCCCTGTTTACTTTTATACCCTCATGAACATGATGAAGGAAGTGGCTGTGTCCATATTGTTCACCTTCAATCCTCACTGACAAACTTACTGTCTGACATAGTTGGTACCCAATCAAGTGTTTGTTTAGTGAATATGTTAAATAACAAATATTGAAACTAAGATATCATGGTATCAAAGACAAACTTCAAAAGGTATAACCTGTAAATATGTAAGTATGGTTCTTAAGTATGGTTCTTAAACTTTGTCTGAATATTTCAAAACAATAACTCCACATATTTGGAGCAATACTGATGCCGTTAATGTTAGTGCATGACTCCCCAAGAAGGCTAATTTGAAGACACACCTTTTAACATAAATCAATTTCCTTATGTGGAATATACACTAGTCCCAATGCCTCAGCAAAAAGAATTTGGGTGTGGAGAATCTGAAATAAGATGTTAATTTGTTCCTGAGAGAGTGCAGTAAACGGTTAGGCCTCTGAGCGTCGCTGTTGACCACTTAAGGAGAAAAACGCAGCTAGAGAGCTAGTCAACCATTTTCTTACTCCTAAAATGCAAAGAACCAGCAAGTCAGACGGATTATCTGGGGCTGCTATGAAAGTCACCCTGTCAGTCAACCAGTTCCGTGACTTGTGAAATGGATGCATAAAGACTTAGTTCCCTGAAGAAATAAGATTGGAGTCCGTTGTGGGAAACTGGAATTGAATTCAGAAAAAAGAAACAATTTACAAAAAACGAAATGACTAATTGCCTGAGATTCCAAGAAGGCAGAGGACTGGCCCTGCTGTGTGCACTACTGGGGACGCTGTGTGAGACCGGATCTGGGCTGATCCGCTACTCGATGCCTGAGGAGCTGGACAAAGGCTCCTTCGTGGGCAACATCGCCAAGGACCTGGAACTGGAGCCCCAGGAGCTGGCGGAGCGCGGAGTCCGCATCGTCTCCAGAGGTAGGACGCAGCTTTTCTCTGTGGACCCGCGAAGCGGCAGCTTGATTACGGCGGGCAGGATAGACCGGGAGGAGCTCTGCGCTCAGAGCCCACGCTGTCTCGTAAAATTTAATATCCTGATTGAGGACAAATTGAAAATTTTTGAAGTGGAAATAGAAATTAGAGACATTAATGATAATGCTCCTGATTTTCTAACAGAGGAATTGGAAATAAAAATTAGTGAGCTAACAGCTCCTGGAACCCAGTTTCCACTTAAGACTGCATTTGACCCAGATGTGGGCATGAATTCCCTGCAAAACTACCAGCTCAGCTCCAATGACTACTTCTCCCTGGCTGTGAAGGGCATCTCTGGTGGGGGCAAGTACCCAGAGCTGGTCCTGGAGCAGGCCCTGGACAGAGAGGAGCGGGAGGCTCATCAGCTTGTCCTCTCTGCCTCTGATGGTGGCGACCCCGTGCTCTCCGGCAACTTGCGCATCCAAGTGATAGTTCTGGATGCAAACGACAACCCACCAGCGTTTACTCAGGCTGAGTACCATGTAAGCGTTCGGGAGGACAGGCCAGTGGGCACGCGACTGCTCAGGGTGAATGCTACCGACCCTGATGAGGGATTCAATGCTCAAGTGTCCTATATCCTAGATAAAATGCCTGGGAAAACTGCTCAGACTTTTTATCTCGACCCAGTGACTGGAGATATATCAATATTAAAAAGCCTAGATTATGAAGATGCTATGTTCTATGAAATTAAAATTGAAGCCAAAGATGGACCCGGTCTCTTTTCAAGAGCCAAGATTCTAGTCACAGTTCTGGATGTTAATGACAATGCCCCAGAAGTTGCAATCACTTCTCTCACCAGTTCAGTCCCAGAAGAGTCTACTGCTGGAAGAGAAATTGCCCTTATTAATGTGCATGACAGAGATTCTGGGCAGAATGGGCAGGTCACAGTTTTTGTCCTTGAAAATATGCCATTTAATTTAGAAAAATCTATAGATGGGTATTACCGTTTAGTAACAGCCAGATCCCTGGACCGTGAACAGGTGTCGGAATATAACCTCACTCTGAGAGCCACAGATGGAGGAACTCCGTCGCTGTCCACAGAAACACACATCACCCTACATGTGACTGACATCAATGACAACCCACCTGCCTTCACTCATGCCTCCTACTCTGCCTATATTCCTGAAAACAACCCCAGAGGCACCTCCATCTTCTCCTTGACTGCTCATGACCCTGATAGCGGCCAAAATGGCTGCCTCACTTACGCACTTACGGAGGACAACCTACAGGGGGCACCTCTCTCTTCTTACGTGTCCATCAACTCTGACACAGGAATCCTGTATGCACTGCGTTCCTTTGACTATGAGCAATTCCGAGAGTTGCAGTTGTGGGTGACTGCCAGCGACAGTGGGGACCCACCACTTAGCAGCAACGTGTCACTTAGACTATTCGTGCTGGACCGGAACGACAATGCACCTGAGATCCTGTACCCCGCTGTTCCCACTGATGGCTCCACTGGCGTGGAACTAGCACCCCGCTCTGCAGAGCCCGGCTACCTGGTGACCAAGGTAGTGGCGGTGGACAGAGACTCAGGTCAGAACGCTTGGCTGTCCTACCGCCTGCTCAAGGCCAGCGAGCCAGGGCTCTTCACAGTTGGGGTGCACACCGGTGAGGTCCGCACAGCACGAGCCCTGCAGGACAGAGATGCACTCAAGCAGAGCCTCGTGGTGGCCGTTCAGGATCATGGCCAACCTCCTTTCTCAGCCACTGTCACGTTCACCGTGGCCATGGCCGACAGCATCCCTGATGTTTTGGCTGACCTAGGCAGCTTTGAGCCCTCTCACGATTCTGAAGCCTCCGACCTCACACTGTACCTGGTGGTGGCTGTGGCTGCTGTCTCTTGTGTCTTCCTCGCCTTTGTCGTTGTGCTCCTTGCGCTGAGGGTGCGTCGCTGGCACAAGTCTTGCTTGCTCCAGACCGCTAGCGGAGGTATGGCCGGCGTGCCCGCCACACACTTTGTGGGTGTGGATGGGATGCAGGCTTTTCTGCAGACCTATTCCCATGAGATCTCCCTCACCGCGGACTCGCGGAAGAGTCACCTGATTTTCCCTCAGCCCAACTATGCAGACACACTCATCAGCCAGGAGAGCTGTGAGAAAAGCGAGCCTCTCCTGATACCTCAAGATTTACTTGAAGCAAACGGAGACCCCAAGCTACTTCAGGTGAGTTTTTGTTTCTTTCTTTGGATAGTACAAAGAACAGTTATGCCAATGTGGTTATTATAAAGCTTTAATACACATTTATTTGAGAAATAAAGTACTGCTGTAGTCATTACTCCTGTGACCTAAATATTTCTGTTCTTTCTTTTGGGGCATATGGTAAGACTGCATTTCCTCTCCTGGCTTTGACTGGGTGTGTCTATGTAACTAGTTCTAGCCAATAAATTGCAAGTGGAAGTAACTTGTCACTTCCAGGAAGAAGCTCTAATTGCCATTGTGAGAATTTTCAGATCTCTAAGTTAACTCTTGGAAATTGTGACTGCTCCTTCTACCTGGCTCCTTGAGTAACTGATGAGAGAAGATCCCAGTGGTTGACCCAACACTGATCTGTAAACCTGTGGTAAATAGATCCTTTTCATTTTAAATCTTTGTGAATTGAGGTTGGTTTGTCACTGCGGCCTAACCTGCCTATGCTGACTGATATAAACAAGTAAAACATATATGAGAGGTTTTAGTCTCCCACAAGCCAGACCACTCTACATCTTAATGACACAAAAAGTGTTGGATAAAGAATGTAGAAGTTGGTTGAATGGATTTACCTGGCCTTATATACCTAACCATGATATATCCATATTGATTTCAGCTTTTTTCCTGAAGGTGGAAACTTTCTCTGCCTAAACTATCATGAACATTGGACTGGCATTTTCTTGTCATTTGAGAAGGACAACAACAACAACAACAAAAAAAAAGTATAGGAGCTCTGGTGGTGCAGTGCCTAAGGCATTTGACTGCTAACAAGAAGGCTGGAGGTTCAAACCTACCAGTCACTCCTGGGAAGGAAGATTGGGCAATCTACTTCCATAGTGATACCCCCTTGGAAACCCAAGGAGGGGTCGCTATGAGTCAGATCCAACTCCACGGCAGTGAGTTTGGTTTTGGTTTGGTATAGGAAGATATGGTTCAGCCTCTGTGGAAGATTTCCAAGCCATCCACTTCAATAATGTAATAGCATTCCCAACTGAGTTATATGGCTTTCTTGATCCAAAAATTGCTAGTCCATTCTGAAATTTATGAAGTGATTTTCACCCATGAAGTTACATCAGACAGTCCTACAAACTTTGACCAAAATAAATTTCATTAGTCCTCAAAGAGAGATTTCTCTCTCAACATATTAGAAAGAGGTACATTCAAGAGTGTGAGACAACAGGGTCTGAACAAAAGAACTTAAATATGAGATGGATGTATTCTCACTGAAACATGCAAATACATCACAGCAAAAAAAGGGAGGGGGCACATAACCATTGGCATATCTTTTTTAGGAGAAATATTTGTAATAGTATCAATATACTCACAAAGGGGGAAAAATATTAGTTGGTTAGTGACAAGGGAACTTTAGCTGTTCAAAGAAGATTTTCTAAGAACAAAATGAGCACACTTTTCATTTATTTGTATAGATAATTGAAGGTCTCAGATATGCGTTTTCAGTTAAAAAATTATCTTTTTCTGAAGAATGGGCAAGATTTTATTACTGTAGCAAGAGAAGAATGGTTCATAATAAAAGGAACAGAAAGTACAAATGCATGAAGTAGAGAAAGCAAGGCAAGGGAAACGAATAATAGTCTGTTGTGGTTGGAGTATGAGTATGGGTGAGCATCTTAAATAGTAGAATAAAGTGTTGAAAAGAGCAATTTTGGAGTGTGTTTAAAATGAAAGAATTTGGTTGTTTGGGTTACCCCAGACCAGTTCATGGTTTCCAGGTAAGTTTCAAAATGAAATGTTTCTAAGATTTACCATTTCACTCACTGATGGCACTAATTGGCTGGAGCGGAGAACTGGCCCTGTAGAGATTGCATATGCATTCACACACAGAAGCAGCACTGAGTTTACAGAAACAACTATGGCTTGAATAAGATTTCACTTTACAAAAGCATGTGATGAAATAATAAATTGGTCTCTTTAACAAGTTAGACTCGCCTCTACATAACTGAGAAGATGGTCTGTTTTATAAGGAAGAACCATATGTTAAAATAAGTCCAGGGCTTTCTCTTTTTGGAAAGGCTATATTTTTTAAGAATATCACTGAATTGATAAAGTATATATGCAGGGATTTAAAATAGTAAATAAGTGAAGTGAATTCAAGGATTTTACAGAAATGTAAGGACTATATTCCACCCAAAAAAATGTGATAAGAAGCTATTAGCTTATTTGAATACATCCATACTAGTCATGCCAGTGTTTTTAAATGCAGTGAAATCAGAAGATACTCTTGTCCTCACAGACTCTGGGGAGGGGGTTGTATGTCTTAGGAAATTTTTAAATACAAAAGAGAATATGAAATGATGGCGATGCTTATGAGCATCTATCACCTTTTGGAATGTGAGCATTTGAATATGTGGCTTTTTCTGACAAAAACACAAGGTACTTAGATTCAAGCGCTTACACGTTGAGGATGAATAGCTGGGCACGATGCAGTTTTCCAAGACAACCTCTGGGCGCCGCTATTGACCAAAGGGAAGAGACGGGTTCTCAGTTCCGCCGGAGCTTCAGACCCAGTGCTTGCCAGCTTATTCGGACGCACATCAGAAAGCATGCCGGTCTCCCGCACATCCTTCACCGCCTAACAAGTCCTACCCTTCAATCACGAATGTCCAGGGTGCTGCGATTCGTTTTTTAAAACATCCCTGAGAAACCTTGCAAAGAAGCTTCCCGGAGAATTCAAGAAATGCGGAGAAACGCCAGACAAGCTGAAGCGACCAAAAGGCAGGTACTGTTTCCCTTCCTGCTGTCTTTGTTCTGCGGGGCCTTCTCCCAGCAGATCCGCTACACGATTCCTGAAGAGATGGCCAAGGGCTCGCTGGTGGGAACCCTCGCCAAGGATCTGGGGCTCAGCGTTCAGGAGTTGCCAGCTCGAAAATTTCGAGTTAGTTCAGAGGAGGATTATTTCAATGTCAGCGCGGAGAGCGGGGATCTGTTAGTGAGCGGTAGGATAGATCGAGAAACGATTTGCGACAGGAAATCTGAATGTGCACTAGAATTTGAAACGGTCGCTGAAAACCCAATGAATATTTTCCATGTAGTTGTTGTAATCCAAGATATTAACGACAATGCACCACGTTTCGTTGCAAAAAGTATTGACTTGGAAATCTGTGAATCAGCCTTACCAGGGGTGAAATTCTCTCTGGATGCTGCCCAAGACGCAGATGTAGGAAGTAACTCACTGAAGTCATACACTACCAACCCCAATCAACATTTCTCGGTGTCAACAAAAGAAAGTCCTGACGGAAGTAAATACCCAGAATTACTCCTGGAAAAACCTCTGGACAGGGAACAGCAGAGCTCCTATCGCTTAATGCTGATTGCCATGGACGGCGGAAACCCGTCTCTAAGCGGCACCACCCAGATCCGAATCCAGGTCACCGACGCCAATGATAATGCTCCGGTGTTTAGCCAGGAGGTGTACAGAGCTATCCTCCAAGAAAACGTGCCCCTAGGCACCTCTGTGCTGCGGGTGACGGCCACAGACCAGGACGAGGGCGCTAATGCTGAGATCACGTATACTTTCCTCAGTGCCCCTACAAGTGCCAGCCTCCTCTTCAGACTCAATCCAAATACTGGTGACATCACAACCAATGGTACATTGGACTTTGAACAAACAAGGAGGTATGTGTTGGGTGTAGAAGCCAAGGACGGAGGGGTCCACACGGCTCACTGTAACGTTCAGATTGAAATTATTGATGAGAATGACAATGTCCCAGAGGTGACATTCATCTCCTTTTCTAACCAGATTCCTGAGGACTCAGACCTTGGAACAGTAATAGCTCTCATTAAAGTGCGGGACCAGGATTCTGGGCAAAATGGTCTAGTGATATGTTATATTCAGAAAGACTTGCCCTTCAAATTAGAATCCACCTCCAAGAATTATTACAAATTGGTGATTGACAGAGCCCTGGATCGGGAGGAGACAGCAGAGTATAATGTCACCATCACAGCTACTGACAGGGGCAAGCCACCCCTCTCCTCCAGTACAAGCATCACCCTGCACATTGCAGACGTCAACGACAACGCACCAGCTTTTCACGAGGCCTCCTACGTGGTTCACGTGGCTGAGAACAACCCGCCCGGTGCCTCCATCGCGCAGGTCAGCGCCTCCGACCCTGATCTTGGACCCAATGGCCATATCTCCTACTCCATAGTGGCCACCGACCTGGAACCTCAGGCGCTGTCATCCTACATGTCCGTGAGCGAGCAGAGCGGGGTGGTGTTCGCGCAGCGCGCCTTCGACCACGAGCAGCTGCGCGCCTTCGAGGTGACGCTGCAGGCGCGTGACCGGGGCTCGCCCGCGCTCAGCGCCAACGTGAGCCTGCGCGTGTTGGTGGACGACTGCAACGACAATGCTCCGAGAGTACTGTACCCAGCGCTGGGAACCGACGGCTCTGCACTCTTCGACACAGTACCGCGTGCTGCACAGCCGGGCTATCTGGTCACCAAGGTGGTGGCGGTGGACGCAGACTCTGGGCACAACGCCTGGCTATCCTACCACGTGCTGCAGGCCAGCGAGCCCGGACTCTTCAGCCTGGGGCTGCGCACGGGTGAGGTGCGCACAGCACGTGCTTTGGGAGACAGAGAAGCGGCCCGCCAGCGCCTGCTGGTCGCTGTGCGCGATGGAGGACAACCGTCCCTCTCAGCCACAGCCACGCTACACCTGGTCTTCGCAGACAGCCTGCAGGAGGCGCTGCCAGACCTTAGCGATCGCTCTGAGCCCTCTGACTCGCAGTCTGAGCTGCAGTTTTATCTGGTGGTGGCTTTGGCTTTGATCTCCGTGCTCTTCCTCCTCGCGGTGATTCTGGCCATCGCCCTGCGCCTGCAACGGTCCTCCAGCCCCGCCGCCAGAGGCTGCTTCCAGCCTGGTCTCTGCTCCAAGTCGGAACCTGGGGTTCTCCCCAACTACAGCGAGGGGACATTGCCCTATTCCTACAATCTGTACGTTGCTTCACAATCGGCTAAAACAGAACTTAATTTTCTCAACGTGACCCCAGAAATGGTTCCTCCTCAGGATCTTTTGTGTGACGATCCTTCTACAGTTGTACATGCCAGTAATGAAGACAACAAAATCACTTATGACCCTTCTTATTCCTCTCACGTGAGTTTCTGCCAGCCTATTTAAATTTCATGTATTGTATTTGCTTCTCAACTGTGGATAATTCATTTTGGGAGTTACTCATTGTTCTGCGAGGAGGGTACATTGGATTGGTTCCTTGGCTGCTCAGTAGTTTTGGCCTTTTAGCTGATGACTACTTCTCAATCTTTACTGTTGGCATTTCTTTATCATCGTTGTCATCATTACCATAGTAATGGTAATCTTGTTAAAGAAACCTCTTTCCTGGATGTCAACACTTTCAATAATGTTGTGTTGTTGTTGTGATGTGCCGAGTCGGACCCGACTCATAGCGACCCCTCCTTGGGTTTCCGAGGCAGTCTCACTACGGAAGTAGATTGCCCCATCTTCCTTCCGAGGAGTGGCTGGTGGGTTTGAACCGCCAGCCTTCTGGTTAGCAGTCAAGTGCCTCAGGCACTAAGCTACCAGAACTCCCAAATGAAGGTTAGTATCATATTTATCAATTACATTCTAATTGTTTATCTGCAATGTGTATATTTAACACAACCTCCCAGTAATTAAGTTCCTTAGTACTTCTTTGCCTTATTACAAGTAGCAAGGACGATCAAATTTTCTATTTGAATGACTAGCTTTGTGCCAAATTCATCCCCACTTCATAATCTTACTCAAAGATGTTCCATAATTTTCTTAACCATTCTTTAACCATTGACCTTTTATCACTATTACAAGGGTTGCAATGAGCATGATTCTATAAGGGCCTTTTCCATATTCTTGATTCTTTAGTATTTCTGTTAAATGAATCGAATCTACCAACCTTTTTGAGATTTTTAAATACATATTGTCACATTTCTTTCTAAAACATCTAATTTCCCCAGAAATTTGTGAAACCTTTGAAGATTGTGAAAAATATATTTACTCTCTCAAAGTCTGAAGATTTAGATTTTCTCACAGATAATGGACCTTTTGTGTTTGATTAAAATGGAGGTATTTCTTGATGCTAATTATACATGAGGGGTAATCTGAAGACCTAGCTAATGTATTACCTCAAGTTCTCATTTGTAAATTACTCTAACTATTCCTGAATAAGAAAACCGTGAAACATGCAGCAAGTATTCATTTGTTATTCTTGTCAGTTGCCATCACATCACCTCTGGTTCTTGACAATCCTGTTTATAATGGAACAAAACCTTGCCAAGTCCTGCATCATCTTCATGGTCATTAGTATGCTGGAGTGTGATGTGGTGGTCGCTTTGTAATTTGAGTGCCTTCCAACATAGAGGGCTCATCTGCCAGCACGGTATGAGACAATGTTCTGTTGTGATCCATAGAGTTTTCATTGGCTAACTTTGGGATCCAGATTTCCAGGCCTTTCTTCCTAGTCTGTGTTAGTCTGAAGTTCCACTGAGACCTGTCCATTATGGGGTGACCCTGCTGGTGTTTGAAAAACTAGTGACATAGCTTCCACCATTGTAACAACATGCAAGTCATCACAGTATTACAGACTGACAGATGGGTGGTGGGAGGATTCACAGACAATTACTAAAAGATTTGCTTCAAGTGGCTATTTCTAAAATCAGAGCTGAAATAACGGTAAAATAATACCTTCTGGATGAAAAATGTTACTGAAATCACTGCTTTTTATAGAACTCCAGTCTAACTTTTTTTGTCTTATGTTTAATCTGTATTTTTATGATTAGGCTCCGTTTACTCTTTGTTTTAGGTTTTGCAGTTGCATTAGTACTCATTCAATAAATATTGAAAAATATTTTTGAGTGCCTACTCTATGAAAGGCACTGTTCTAGAGGTTGAGAATCCCGCTGTGAACTACTGAATAGACAGTTTATGGACAGAACTCTGCTGTATATAAGTTTAAGGGGCACGATTCTCTTTCCAGACCCACTATACTTGCCAAGCCTATTTGTACAGACTAGCTTTTGAGTGGTAGTTCTTGTTGTTGTTGTTTTGTTTTGTTTTTTGTTGTTTTGTTTTGTTTTGCAAGGGAATTGAAATGTTTCCCCAAGCTATAAAGGGTCAACTCATTTGAGGAAACCTGTTTCTACCTAATTTGGGGCTAGAGCCCAGAGCTCCAAACTCTCTGGCCATTATTGTCTGTTCACTTAAACTACTTTTCTGCATTCTTCAAGTCCATCTTTATTTCTAGGAAGAATATACAATCATCCCTCTGCACAGTATTCACAGGACACTGTACTGAAAATGGGCAATGGGGACGAATAATGCAAAACTGAAAAGAGGCTTAGCTTTAAAAATCATGTTGGTTTCTCCAAGGAAATAAACAACTTTATTACATAAGGCTTCTTATACAGGAAGCTTTGGATAGTTCTTAGATTCTCATTGCAAATCAAACAACAGGAGCTTGGCGTGTATTCTCTCAGGAGAAATAGGTTTAGGATAGGAAATGAAGTTAAAACTAATGCTTCGATTTATCAAGAATGGGTTGCAGTAACAGGTTAGGACTCTGAGTGTCGCTGTTCACCAATCAGGAGGAGACAAGACAATCAAATTCAAATCAAACCACAGGATTTCTGCAACATAAACCACTGGTTCTGGGGCTTGACGGAAGCTTCAAGCTGGACTTTTGGGTGTTCCTGTATCCAGAGACGAAAGCGCATTATCTTGGACCCGGAAATCCTGGGGCTTCTCCAGCCTCCACAGAGGGAAAGCTGAAGCGCACACTGTTTCGCGGCTGGGCTGTAATGGCGGCTCCCCTTTATCTCCCAGGCTGTAGCGGGCAGATCTGGATCTGCGTTCTCCTGGGGGCCCTGTGGGAAATTCGCGCGGAGCAGATCCGCTACTCGGTGCCTGAGGAGCTGGACAAAGGCTCTTTTGTAGGGAACGTCGCCAAGGACCTGGGACTGGAGCCCCTGGAGCTGGCAGAGCGTGGAGTCCGCATCGTCTCCAGAGGTAGGACCCAGCTCTTTGCTCTGAACCCGCGAGGCGGCAGCTTGATCACTGCGGGCAGGATAGACCGGGAGGAGCTCTGTGACAGATCTCCAAAGTGTGTAGCAAACCTGGAGATTCTGCTTGAGGACAAAGTGAAGATTTTTGGAGTAGAAGTGGAAATAATCGATGTTAATGATAACGCGCCCAGCTTTGGGAAAGAGGATAGAGAAATAAAAGTGGCTGAAAATGAAAATCCTGGGACAAGATTTCCTCTTCCTGAAGCTTTTGATCCGGATGTAGGGATAAACTCCCTGCAGGGTTACCAGCTAAGCTCAAATGATCACTTCTACCTGGATGTACAAAGCGGAGCGGATAGGATTAAGTACCCGGAACTAGTGCTGGAGCGCGCCCTGGATCGCGAGAAAGAGCCCGTGCACCACCTCGTCCTCACCGCCTCAGATGGGGGCAACCCCGTTCGCTCTGGCACTGCCAGGATTCATGTGAAACTTATAGATACCAACGACAACGCCCCGGTATTCACTCAACCTGAGTATCACGTGAGCGTTCGTGAGAATGTACCAGTGGGCACCCGGCTACTCACTGTGAAAGCCACTGATCCAGATGAAGGAGTCAATGGAGAAGTGACATATTCTTTCCGGAAAGTGAGAGACAAAATATCCCAGCTCTTCCAGTTGAATTCTCTGACCGGCGACATAGCAATATTGGGGGATCTAGATTACGAGGACTCTGGATTCTATGACATAGATGTAGAAGCTCATGATGGACCCGGTCTCCGAGCCAGGAGTAAGGTGCTGGTGACAGTTCTGGATGTAAATGACAATGCTCCAGAAGTCACAGTTACATCACTCACTAGCTCAATCCAAGAAACTTGCCCCCCAGGCACAGTCATTGCACTTTTCAATGTGCATGATGGTGACTCAGGACAGAATGGCCTTGTAACATGCTCAGTTCCAGACAATCTGCCATTCACACTTGAGAAGACCTATGGAAATTATTATAGGTTGTTGACACACAGAACTCTGGACAGGGAAGAAGTCTCAGAATATAACATCACCATAACTGCCACTGACCAGGGTACTCCACCACTGTCTACGGAAACTCACGTCCTGCTGCAGGTGGCAGACATCAATGACAATCCACCCACCTTCACGCATGCCTCCTACTCTGCCTACATTCCTGAAAACAACCCCAGAGGTGCCTCCTTCTTCTCCTTGACTGCCCAGGACCCTGACAGCAGTGAGAATGCCCAAGTCACTTACTCTTTGGCTGAGGACACCCTCCAGGGGATGCCTCTGTCTTCTTACATCTCCATCAACTCCAACACTGGGGTCCTATATGCCCTTCGCTCCTTCGACTATGAGCAGTTTCGGGATTTACAACTGCAGGTTACTGCCAGCGACAGTGGGGAGCCACCACTCAGCAGCAACGTGTCCTTGAGCCTGTTTGTGCTGGACCAGAACGACAATGCGCCTGAGATCCTGTACCCGGCTGTTCCCACTGATGGTTCCACCGGAGTGGAACTGGCTCCCCACTCTGCAGAGCCTGGTTACTTGGTGACCAAAGTGGTGGCTGTGGACCGTGACTCTGGACAGAATGCCTGGCTGTCCTACCGTCTGCTCAAGGCTAGCGAGCCAGGGCTCTTCGCGGTGGGGGTGCACACAGGCGAGGTGCGCACTGCCCGGGCCATGTTGGATAGAGACGCACTCAAGCAGAGCCTCGTTGTGGCTGTCCAGGACCATGGCCAGCCCCCTCTATCGGCCACCGTCATGCTCACAGTGGCAGTGGCCGACAGCATTCCCGATGTCCTAGCTGATCTGGGCAGCATTAAGACGCCGGCTAACCCAAATGATTCAGGCCTCACGCTGTACCTAGTAGTGGCCGTGGCCGCCGTCTCCTGCATCTTCCTCGCCTTCATCATCGTGCTGTTGGCATTCAGGCTGCGTCGCTGGCACACCACGCGTCTGCTCCAGGCTTCAGGCGGTGGGCTGGCGGGTGTGTCAGCCTCTCAGTTTGTGGGCATGGATGGGGTGCGGGCTTTCCTCCAGACCTACTCCCATGAGGTCTCCCTCACCGCAGATTCAAGGAAGAGTCACTTGATCTTTCCCCAGCCCAACTATGCTGATACCCTCATTAGTGCAGAGAGCTGTGAGAAAAGTGAACCTCTTCTGGTGACCCAGGATTTTCTTGAAACAAAAGGAGAACCCAATCAGGTGAGTTGATCTCATAATCGACCTTACTGACACTCACACATAGGCACAAAGCTGTGATAAATATGCCTCCAGTATATAATCCATCAAAGAAAGGCACCTTCATATTCTGTTGCTTTCCAGGAGAGGGGTAGGACACCGTACAATAATAACTACTTTTATTACACAAAGAAATTTTTGCTTAGTTCTCATTCTTTGTAATCTCCATTCAGTGTTAATTTCAACAGCAATTTCTTAATTCCATGCCTCTAAACTACCTCACTCTTTAAATGCCATTTTCCTTTGGACATTACTAAAATGCCCAATAGGTTGGAGATGTTAGATATAAGAAAATTGTGTGAATTCCTATTGACAACACTCTTTCTCATGAAATTATTCTTGATTGTAGGCTGAGTATTTTAATACTAAAAGAACATGCTTTGCTTAAAGTTTACTTTTCTTTCCTTTAAAAGGTGTGCTGTTGTTGTTGTTATGTGCTGTCGAGTCGGACCCAACTCATACCGACCCCTCCTTGTGTTTCCAAGGCAGTATCACTACAGAAGTAGATTGCCCAACCTTCTTTCCGAGGAGTGGCTGGTGGATTTGAACCACCAGCCTTCTGGTTAGCAGTCAAATGCCTGAGGCACTATGCCACCAGAGCTCCCAAAATGAGAAAACATTTAACTTTTGGATCTAACTGTAACAAGACTGTTTTCCCAATAGAGTGGGTGTATTTCAAATATTTTGTTGTTGCTATTTGTAAGATGTACCAGCAAATGTGTGGTTCTTTAGATGACTTCTGTGGTTAGTAAAACTACTGCTTATTTTATTTCACTCATACTTAAGTAGGTTGTGGGAGTGATTTTAATATCTAAACTACCTATTATAGTACCCTTTACTATTGGTACCCTTGTTGATTTCTAAAGAAAGCAAAACTTTTTGAAGTCTTTCCTTTTTTCCCTCTTGACAGCCTCTTGAAAATATTGGGTAACTTGGATTCTGGACTGATGTAATTCATGCTACTTAATAAGTAAGCCTCACCCCTGCCCCTGCAAATTGCTCTTTCAGATAACCGTCATTGTGTGGAATGAGGATAATCTGAAATGGGAGGAAATATTTTATGTGCAAGGACTCTGCAATACTTTTGTTTCTTGTGCCTTCATTTTGTTCTGTGAGCTAATATAGAATTCATGAATGTCTATGGATACACAAATTAGTGACCTTTGGAAACCTGGAATTATAGCTATGGGTTATGAAATATGCCTCAATTTCACTTAGCAAGAGGAGTTTTTGTTTCTATATGAATTTGTGTTCATGGGAAGTTGTGGTACAATACCCATTGCCAACTCTTAGAACCTTATAGAACAGAGTAGAACTGCCTCCTAGGATATCCAAGGCTGTAATTTTTATGGGTGCAGATCATCAGATATATTCTCCCAAGGAATGGCTGGTGGGTTCACACTGCAAACCTTTAAGTTAGCATCTGAGAGCTTAACCACTGTACACCAGGGCTCCTTGGTGGTACAATACATAGAGCAAATAGGAATGTGACAAGATACATAGGGAGAGTAGAGAAGGAAAAACACAAATGAGTATAGATAAATTCTATCTGAAGAGAGGTTGTTTAAAATAAAATATTTCTAAAAATATATTTTGGAAAAGTTCAATTGTCCTGAAATGTTATCAAACATACATAGATGCTGGTATTATGAGTCCCATTCCAGAAGTACAGAGGGACATGTTCTTAAATGCCTTTCTGATGTGATTCATGCTAGTTAATAAGTAAGCCTCATCCCTGTCCCTGCAAATTGCTCTTTCAGATAACTGTCATTGTATGGAATTAGGATAATCTGAAATGAGAGGAAATATTTTATGTTCAAGGACTCTGCAATACTTTTTTCTTGTGGCTTCGTTTTGTTCTGTGAGTTAATATACAATTCATGGATGTAGAGATGATTTGTACAGAAAGTAGATGACTTATTACCTAGTATCACATGGGAAAAAAATACATTTTGTTTGAATGGAAACTGGGTTTCTTTTAGAAAATAATATTTCTGGTTAAATAAATTATTGTATATCATATAACAAACCACTAATGTCATATGGATCTTGGCTGAAGGCAGAGAATACCAGAAAGATGTTTACCTTTTATTGACTATGCAAAGGCATCTGACTGTGTGGATCATAAAAAATTGTAGATAATATTGCAAAGAATGGGACCTACAGAATACTCAATTGTGATTCTGAGAAAACTACACAGACCAAGAGGCAGTCATTTGAACAGAATGGCATGGTTTAAAAACAAGAAAAGTGTGTGTTATGGTTTAATCCTTTTACCATACTTATTCAATCTGTATACTGAATAAATAATCCTAGAACCTGGACTTTATTAAGAAGCACATAGCATCAAGATTGGGGGCAGATAGCATCAAGATTGGGGGAAGACTCATTAACAACTTGTAATATGCAGATGACACAATTTTGCTTGCTGAAAGTAAAGAAACCTTGAAGCATTTACTGATGAACATCAAAGACTATAGCCTTCAGTATGGATTACACTCCAACCTAAGAAAACAAAAATTCTCACAACTGGACCAATAATCAACATCATAATAAACAGAGAAAATATTGAAGTTGTCAAGGTTTACATTTTACTTGAATCTACAACCAACACCTAAAGAAGCAGCAGTCAAGAAATAAAACAACGTACTGCATTGGGCAAATCTACTGCCAAAGACCTCTTTGAAGTGTTTAAAAGCAAAGATGTCACTTTGAGGACTAAGAGGTGTCTGACCCAAGCCATGGTATTTTCAGTTACCTCATATGCATACAAAAGCTAGACAATTAATAAGGAAGACAGAAGAAGAACCAGTGACTTTAAATTATGGTGTTGGCAAAGAATATTAAATATATCATGGACTGCCAGAAGCATAAACCAATCTGTCTTGGAAGAAGTATAGCCAGAATGCACCTTAGAAGCAAGGAAAACCAGACTTAGTCTCACATTCTTTGGACATGTTATCAGGAGGGAGTACTTGGTAAAGTGAAGAGTCAGCAAAAAATAGGAAGACCCTCAGTGATTTGGATTGAGACTGTGGCTGCAACAATGGGCTCAAACATGGCAACAATTGTGGGGGTGGTACAGGACCGGCAGTGCTTCTGTTGTACACAAGATCGCTGTGAGTCAGAACTGACCCTACAGCAACTAACAACAACATACCTATACGAAATAAGTAAGAAACCTCTTTATGTACTAATATGAGATTGTCTGCAAGCTATAATGACAGGGGGAAAAAAAGCAAGGTGCAGAACGTGGTCTATTGTATGCTTCCATTTGTGGGAAAAGCATTCATAAAAATTTGCTTCACTATTTGTAACTTATTTCCGGAAAGATAACCAAGAGAGGTAACAGTGGTTTCTCCTGTGAGAGGTTTGTTGCTGAGAGGAGAGATGAGAGGGATATAAGATGCCTTTTGTGTCTTTTGAATTTAGAACGATGTGAATATGTTGTTACCTATTTGAAAACAAATAAATACTCTTGATAAATACAAAACAGAATAGAGAAACAAATAGTCCTTTGCAAATCATTGGTGCAGTTTCATGGAAATACCTCTGGGCGTCGCTGTAGGTCAAAGGAAGAGAGAGAAGACATTCGAGATGCATTGAAAATCTCCTAAAGGGTAATTTCCTGTTCAGGAGCACCACACCGAGAAGGCCAATTCAGCTTCGGATACAAGCAGAAGTGACCCTAGTCTGGATTCTACCACCCACCGCAGGCTTATTCCTCCTGGCAAAGAACGGCTCAGCAGCGGAGGAAGACAGAGGATGAGACCGAGCGCGGAGCGGAGCAGGCCGGCGGGGCGGCGGCAGGTACTGGTGCCTTTCCTACTGTCTTTGTTCGGCGGGGCTCTCCCGGACCAGATCCACTATTCAATTCCAGAGGAACTGGCCACGAACTCGGTAGTGGGGAACCTCGCCAAGGATCTGGGATTCCATGTCCGGGACTTGCCGGCCCGGAAGCTAAGGGTTAGTGGTGAGAAAGAATACTTCACTGTAAACCAGGAGAGCGGGGACTTACTTGTGAGTGGCAGGATAGACCGAGAGCAGATTTGCGGGAAGAAGCCTCTGTGCGTTCTGGATTTTGATGCTGTCGCTGAAAACCCGCTAAATATTTTCCATGTTGCAGTACTTGTGCAGGATATAAATGACAACACTCCAGTATTCAAACAGAATCATATTGATTTAAAAATTGTAGAATCCAGTCAGCCAGGTTCAGCATTTCCGCTAGACCCCGCTCTGGATTCAGATGCTGGTCCTAATTCACTGCAAAGATACCATCTTAATGATAATGAGTACTTTGATCTCTTAGAGAAACAGACTCCAGATGGACGTAAATATCCGGAGTTGATTCTAAAACATTCTCTGGACAGAGAAGAGCAGAATTACCATCAGTTGGTCCTCAGGGCAGTAGACGGCGGGGACCCACCCCAAAGCGGCACCACCCAGATCCGAATCCAAGTCACTGACGCCAACGACAATCCGCCGGTGTTCAGCCAAGACTTGTATAGGGTCAGCTTGCGGGAGGACATGCCCCCGGGCACCTCGGTACTGCAAGTGACAGCCACCGACCAGGATGAGGGCGTCAATGCAGAAATCACCTACTCCTTTCATAATGTGGACGAACAAGTGGCACACTTTTTCCATTTAGACGAAAGAACAGGGGAAATCACAACAAAAGATTATTTGGATTTTGAAGTTGCTAATTCTTACACTCTGAGATTAGAAGCGAAAGATCCTGGAGATCTAGCAGCCCATTGCAGCATCCAGGTCGACATTGTCGATGAGAACGACTGCGCACCTGAGGTGACCGTGACTTCGGTATTCAGTCCCCTACCGGAAGATGCACCTCGAGGAACAGTGATCGCCTTGATCAAAACGCGAGACAGAGACTCTGGAGAAAATGGAGAAGTGTATTGCCGCGTTTTTGGAGATGGCGAATTTAAATTGAAATCTTCCTCGAAGAACTATTACAAATTAGTGACAGATGGCGTCCTGGACCGCGAGCAGATCCCACAGTACAACATCACCATCACAGCTACTGACAGGGGCAAGCCACCCCTCTCCTCCAGTACAAGCATAACCCTGCACATTGCAGACGTCAACGACAACGCACCAGCTTTTCACGAGGCCTCCTACGTGGTTCACGTGGCTGAGAACAACCCGCCCGGCGCCTCCATCGCGCAGGTCAGCGCCTCCGACCCTGATCTTGGACCCAATGGCCATATCTCCTACTCCATAGTGGCCACCGACCTGGAACCCCAGGCGCTGTCCTCCTACGTGTCTGTGAGCGAGCAGAGCGGGGTGGTGTTCGCGCAGCGCGCCTTCGACCACGAGCAGCTGCGCACCTTCAAGCTAACGCTGCAGGCGCGTGACCAGGGCTCGCCCGCGCTCAGCGCCAACGTGAGCCTGCGCGTGCTTGTGGACGACCTCAACGACAACGCGCCCAGGGTGCTGTACCCGATGCTAGGACCCGACGGCTCTGCACTCTTCGACACAGTACCGCGTGCTGCACAGCCGGGCTATCTGGTCACCAAGGTGGTGGCGGTGGACCCAGACTCTGGGCACAACGCCTGGCTATCCTACCACGTGCTGCAGGCCAGCGAGCCCGGAATCTTCAGCCTGGGACTGCGCACGGGTGAGGTGCGCACAGCACGCGCCTTGGGCGACAGGGACGCAGCCCGCCAGCGCCTGCTGGTTGCTGTGCGCGATGGAGGACAGCCACCCCTGTCGGCCACAGCCACGCTGCTCCTAGTCTTCGCTGACAGTCTGCAAGAGGCTCTGCCAGACCTCAGCGACCGGCCTGCGCCTTCTGACCCCCAAGCTGAGCTGCAATTTTACCTGGTCTTGGCTTTGACCTTGATCTCTGTGCTCTTCCTCCTCGCTGTGACTCTGGCTATTGCCATGCGCCTGCGACGTTCCTCCAGCCCTGCCTCTTGGGGCTGTATTCAGCCGAGACTCAGCTCCAAGTCTGGGCCTGGGGTTCTCCCCAACTACAGTGAGGGTACATTGCCCCATTCCTACAATCTGTGTATTGCATCACAATCGGCTAAAACAGAATTTAATTTTCTCAGCGTGTCTCCAGGGTCAGTGCCCACTCAGGATCTCCTCTGCGATGATGCCTCTTGGGCACCTAGTACAAATCATGGCGACACTGGGGTACCATTTGCCTCAGACACAATTTTAGAGGTGAGCTTTACTTATTTTGATTATTTTCACTTTGCTTTTTAATGTTTCTTAAATCGCCTAAATGGGTAGAAGGTATTTTGTTATCTCTTTGATCCGAATCAGGTAGTTTTCTGCCATCGGTTATCTTAATCTTGTTAATCAAGTCTTGGATGTGGTTTCTCTGAGGTGTCAGATTTGTTTCTACATAATTACCGGAGTTTACCACATGAGATAATTCTTTTTCTTCCTCATCTTTACACTACATTCTTTCACTCTAAAGATTTGTTACTACTGGGACCTTTAGTAATTGCTTTCACCTTTTGGATAAAAATATTAGTTTTTCTTCTTCTTAGAATCATAGTACTTCAGAGTAGAGTCTTCATATTACTAGTTTAGGAAAACTGGGAACCAAAGAAAGGAAGAGTTTTACTCATTGCCACAGCTTGTCAACCATGGGGCAGATCTTGTTTCCACTGACTTGGAGACCAGCCCTCTGCCTGTCTTTACAATCTAAGTTTCTGTGAACAATCTAAGTATAAAAGGGGTAGGGAAAGTTTGAGGTCTGAGGTGTCTGCTATGAAGGGCACATTTAATCAGTGTGTGAAATAATTTTCTCATGCATATTAATGAATTGCTCTTGAAAAATGGTGTATAATGGGGAAATTTTTTGCAACCTATACCGCCATTGTTTTATACCAAGTAGTACTTAAAACTTTGTTTCTTTTGGAGATCTCCAATAATAGATAGTATAAGTTCCTTTTCCTCATTTTCCCCTGAAAGTGTCTGTAAGTAAAAGTTGACCAACTCTCTCACTTGATCAACTCTCTGAAATATCCACTTGTTTTATCATGAGGGTTTTCTTTTTCTGCTGCCATACAAGACGTTAAGATTTAATATCTGTCTCCACATAGAAAAGCTACTCTCTGCCTGCTTGCCAATAAATATCTGGGCATGTTTTCCTGCATCTGTGACAAACTAAAGCCCTTTCCTCCAGTCATTACACTAATTTCTACTAAGAGTCTATTGTCATGAAACGCCTAACTACAAGTGTTTGAACAGGATAATAGGAATATATAGATGATGCTTGGAGAAGCCAGCTGCTGTAGTGCAGCTCATACTCTTAGTGTGAAAATCTGAAAAGTTTGTCAAAGCCCTCACAAGTAGCAACATGGCCTTTTTATTCTTTCCACATATGAAAGAGAATACAATATTTACATAAACCAGTAGGTCTTTTGCAAATGTGTATTGAGAGCTGGATTTTTTTTCTTTTTTGCCATTGATTTTTACAAATGGGCATGTTTTCATAAATGTATCCAAATAAATAGATGGCATGTTGAGGCCTCCAAAGAGAATTGCAACATAAATTGTTAATAAAATAATCTCTTTTGCTGACTCAACATAGTTGTGAGGTAAATAAAGGACATAGACTCAATGGTAAATGAAATAAACCTTCTAAGGATAGAAAGAAAAATCTAATGATCACATTAATCTCAGGGGATTTTGGAAGTCTTTCACGATTTCAGGATTAAAAAATATCATTAACAATGTCACAAGGTACTATCTTAAGCATATAGGAAAAGTGATTGGAAATAAAATACAAGCAAATTCATGGGGAATAAAAACAGAATTGGTGCAGTATCTTGTTAGGACTCTGAGCGTCGCTGTTCACCAAACTGGGAAAAAAAGACTGCCGCCATTGCAACCCGACTTTCTGCTCCTTCCGCACTGATCACCCACAGATCAGCAGAGCTGCTACGAAAGCGCTTACCCGCGCCCTGTTCAGGTTTCCGCCAGGGAATGTATTCCCCTCGACCCTAGAGAAATAAGGAAAACAAAAAGCAGAAACCAAGACTTAAGAGAAAATCCAGGCGAAGAGAAAGCAATGGTGGATTCACTGAGGCCCTGGGACTGCAGAGAGCCGCTGCTACTCTTCTTTCTCCTGGGGACCCTGCTGGGGGTGGGAAACGGGGCCGGGCAGATCCGCTACTCGGTGCTTGAGGAGTTGGACAAAGGCTCTTTCGTGGGCAACATCTCCAAGGATCTGGGCCTGAAGCCCCGGGAGCTGGCAGAGCGCGGAGTCCGCATCATCTCCAGAGGTAAGACGCAGTTTTTCTCTCTGAACCTGGGAAGCGGCAGCTTGGTTACTGCAGGCAGGATAGACCGGGAGGAGCTCTGCGCTCAGAGCGCGCGCTGTCTGGTGACCTTTAACATCTTGGTTGAGAATAAAATGAAAATATATGGAGTAGAAGTAGAAATTATCGATATTAATGATAACTCCCCACGCTTCCGGGATGAGGAATTAAAAGTAAAAATTAATGAAAATGCTGCTTTGGGAACGCGGTTAGTGCTTCCCTTCGCACGAGATCCAGATGTGGGTGTGAACTCTCTCCAGAGCTACCAGCTCAGCTCCAATATGCACTTCTCGCTGGACGTGAAAAGCGGAACTGATAAGCACAAGTACCCAGAGCTGGTGCTGGATCAGCCCTTGGACCGTGAGAAGGAGGCAGTTCACGAACTACTCCTCACGGCTGTAGATGGCGGAAACCCCATCCTCTCTGGCACCACTCACATCCGCGTGATGGTGCTTGACGCAAACGATAACGCGCCTGTGTTCACGAGACCGGAGTACACAGTGAATGTCCCAGAGGACATACCTGTGGGCACGCGGCTGCTAACGCTAACCGCCACAGACCCGGACGAGGGAGTCAATGGGAAATTGACCTATTCTTTTCGCAATGAAGAAGACAAAATTTCAGAGACTTTCCAACTTGATTCCAGCCTGGGGGAAATCTCAACTCTGCAACCACTGGACTATGAAGACTCCAGCTTCTACCTAATGGAAGTGGAAGCTCAGGATGGAGGGGCTCTTCTTGCTAGCGCCAAGGTGCTGGTCACAGTACAAGACGTGAATGACAACGCCCCGGAGGTGATCCTCACCTCTCTCACCAGTTCCATCTCTGAAGACTGTCTTCCCGGAACTGTAATCGCTTTATTTAGCGTACACGATAGTGATTCTGGAGAGAATGGTGAGATTTCATGTTCTATCCCCAGGAACTTGCCCTTTAAGTTAGAAAAGTCCGTTGATAATTACTATCACTTATTGACAACGACAGCCCTGGACAGAGAAGAGACTGCAGATTATAACATCACAGTAACAGTCACTGACCGTGGAACCCCATCCCTGTCTACTGAAACTCATATCTCGATCAAAGTGGCAGATATCAACGACAACCCACCGGCCTTCTCTCACACCTCCTATTCCACTTACATTCCAGAAAACAACTCGAGAGGCGTCTCCATCTTTTCTGTCACCACCCAGGACCCAGACAGCGGAGAGAATGCCAGGGTCATTTACTCCTTGAGCGAGGACACCCTCCAGGGGGCGCCCCTGTCTTCCTATGTCTCCATCAATTCGGACACGGGCGTCCTGTACGCGCTGCGCTCTTTCGACTATGAGCAGGTCCGAGACCTGCAGCTGTGGGTTACCGCTAGCGACAGTGGGAACCCGCCGCTCAGCAGCAATGTATCACTGAGCCTGTTCGTCCTGGACCAGAATGATAATGCGCCAGAGATTCTGTACCCCGTCCTTCCTACGGACGGCTCCACTGGTGTGGAGCTGGCACCCCGCTCTGCAGAGCCCGGCTACCTGGTGACCAAAGTGGTAGCTGTGGACGGAGACTCAGGACAGAACGCCTGGCTGTCCTACCGCCTGCTCAAGGCCAGCGAACCGGGGCTTTTCGCGGTGGGGTTGCACACGGGCGAGGTGCGCACGGCGCGGGCTCTCCAGGACAGAGATGCGCTCAAACAGACCCTCGTGGTGGCAGTCCAGGACCACGGCCAGCCTCCTCTCTTGGCCACTGTCACGCTCACTGTGGCGGTGGCCGACAGCATCCCTGATGTTCTGGCCGACCTGGAGAGCATCAAGGTGCCCTCTGACCCTGATGATTCTGGCCTCACGCTGTACTTGGTGGTGGCTTTGGCCACAGTCTCCTGTGTGTTCCTCACCTTTGTCATTGTGCTCTTGGCACTCAGACTAAAACATTGGCACACATCGCATTTGTGGCAAGCTTCAGACAGCGGTTTGGCAGGCATGCCCACCTCACACTTCGTTGGTGTGAACGATGTGCGAGCGTTCCTACAGTCCTATTCCCACGAGGTCTCCCTCACTGCGGGCTCGGGAAAGAGTCATATTATCTTCCCGCAGCCCAACTACGCGGATACTCTCATTAGTGGAGAGAGTTGTGAGAAAAGCGAGCCTCTTCATCTACCTGAACCGAATAATGCAAACACAGAAGAACCAGGAGTTTTTCAGGTTAGTTTCCTTTTTCATGAGGAATGATTGGAGCATAAATCTCAGTCATTTTTCTGTCATTTTCAAATTGTGTTAATTACATAAACAGTACATCATGACTTTCTTTCTTTAAAGATTAATTTGATAGGTGACCCTTTCTCCATTTGTTTTCTAATTATTTGGGAAGTTTAAAATCTTTTTTTCTAAATGTCAATGTTTTAGAGTATCTAAATCGATACATATAGCTGTTTATTGTTAGGTGCCATCATTTTTGTTTTTTAATTTTTACACATTTATTTAAGGTGGATCTAATTATATAGGTAAATGGGCAAGTCTGACCTAAATGTAAAATGTTCAACTTACCAAGTAGCAAATGCATCCAAAGATATAAAGAGAAACTGTGTATGTAATACATGCCGATCTCATTCACTTCTACATATCTATCCACTTTCCATTGTTTTTAAAGGGAAGGTTACAGATTTAGGTATGTATTATCAGAGTTAATTTTACTGCAATGGAAAAATGTCTTTTAAACCTCTATAAATTACCAATAGCATTCACATGTTTAAAAAATGCTTGATCCACACATTCTGAGTGTGTACACTATATATAATGTTGTTGTGGTTGTTGTGTCATCAAGTTGTTTCCAACCCATGGCGACCTCTTCTTGGGTTTCCGAGGTGGTATCTCTATGAAAGTAGATTGCCCAGTCACCCCTCCGAGGAGTGGCTGGTGGGTTTGAATCACCAACCTTCTGGTTAGCAGTCAAGTGCCTTAAGCACTACACCACCAGTTATATGCTATTAAATATTTGAATGTTTAGTTTCACATGTACTGAAGACAACTTCCCAGTGCTAATTGAAATGTTCATACAATTAAAAGGCATGGGCATGTTTTGTACCTAAGTTTTGCTTGAGCCAGTAATGTTCTTCATGTTTGCATAAAGTAAAGATGTCAATGACTGGCTATTAGAATCTCGGATACAATGAGCAGTTTAAGATGCTCTAATGCTATTCTAAGGAGCTCTGGTAGCACAGTGCCTAAGACATTTGATTGTTAACCAGATGGTTGGTGGTTCAAACCCACCAGTGGCTCTGCAGAAGGATGATGGGTCAGTCCACTTCTGCTTTGATGTGAATTCAACATCACTGCACACCTGCTAAACTCTAGAACCACAATACTCTATATAGGTAAAACATCTTTTAGTGACAATTTCTAATTTGGAAAAGGAATTAAAATGGAAAGACACCTGCCAGAAACATGGGAATTGGTATGTTTAATAACAAGGGAAGAGTGTCAATAACAAAAGGTTGAGAGTGATCCACTAGCCCCTTGTGGACCAAGGGAAAGTTAGCAACATAAATTATGTTTCTTGGAATATAGAGGAGCAGAAGATAATTATAAGAACTCATACTTCATCCTTCAAATGCAAATCACTCTCCATTGTTAAAATACTTGGAAAGAAACTGGACAATTCAGAACAATAATATAGTGTGATGGGGAAAAAATATCACTTGTGGAATAGTTTGTTAATCGTACTTATTTAATTAAACATAGATGCTTGTGAGTGGAGAGTCTCCTTCTTACTATTATTCTATTCTATGAGGACAATCAATCTGCTTGTTTATCTATCAATTCTTTTTTGGAAGGATGATGATAAAGATAAGATAGAAGAAAAACTTCAGATAGGATAAAACTAAAATCTACTCTTTTTCTAACTTTGATAAGGAATGTAGTGGAATATCTTAATGTGCATAAAGTTGATATTTCAAGGATTTTCATACTACATCTGCCACCACCAACACTATCCTTCATTTGTATGTTTTTCTACCCATTTATTTCATTCGGCCCTCAGTTCTGCTAAGGTAAGCAAGAAAGATGGTATGACCATGTTATGAAAATGAAAACCTAAAAGGACAATGATGCCAATATATATATCTTCAGTAAGGTTACCTCTACCCTTTGACAACTGAAAATCACTGTTATTTGGATGCGTAAAGTTCAAGTTCAAAGAAGTTTCAACCAGATTGGAGATATAGTAGACATTTTAAAAGTAATAAATCCTTGTGAAATGAGAAGACCGAGAAGGTACAGTCGGTGTACAGTAGAATTTGCTCCTGGCCAGTTTCTTTCTACTTGGGGCTGATTTAGCAAGCGCTCCTGCAGTTCCGCTGCCAAGGCGCCGAGTGTCGCTGTTGGCTAGTGCTAAGCCAAGAATCGGCTCCTCCCTCTGCGCAGCGGAATCGCCAGCGTTCCAGGGCTCTAGGAACAACAGTGAGCTCTCTCTCAGGCTCTCGCTGGAGCAGAGATCTCTCACAGAAAACCGACCAGCCCAGACAGAGCAAGTAGTCGCTCCTGATCAGAACTCTTCTGATTATTAAGCAATCGCCGCTCCCTGAGATCGGAAAGGCAAGGGCGCCGGGAGCGGAATGGGAACCAGAGGGAAATTCGTGAGAGACCGGACTGGGAGGCGGCCAGCACTGTTTCTCTTCCTGCTGCCTTTGTTCTGCCGGGTCCTCTCGGATCCGATTCGCTATGCGATTCCTGAGGAGTTGGCCAGGGGCTCGATAGTGGGGAACCTCGCCAAAGATCTAGGGCTTGGCGTGCAGGATTTGCCTACTCGAAACCTGAGGGTTAGTACAGAGAAAAAATTATTTACTGTGAGCGCCGAGAATGGAGACTTACTTGTGAGCGACCGTCTAGACCGAGAGCAGATTTGCGGAAAGAAACCCACGTGTGTTCTGGAATTGGAAATGGCAGCTGAAAAGCCTTTAAAATTTTTTCACGTGTCTGTAGTGATCCAGGATGTCAACGACAACCCACCGACCTTCAGCGCAAATGTCACTGAGCTGGAAATCAGCGAACTGACGCTAACTGGAGCCACTTTTGCCCTGGAATCCGCGGAAGATTTGGATGTAGGGGTCAATTCCTTGCAGCAGTACTACCTCAGCCCCGACCCGCACTTCTCTTTGATCCAGAAGGAGAACCCAGACGGCAGCAGGTACCCAGAGCTCGTAGTGAAAGCCCCCCTAGACAGGGAAGAGCAATGCTGCCATCACCTGATCCTGACGGCTGTGGATGGGGGCGAGCCGGCCAGGAGCGGCACTACCCAGATCAGGGTAGTGGTCGCAGACGCAAATGACAACCCCCCAGTGTTCACTCAGGACCTGTACAGGATCAGCGTTCCGGAGAATCTGCCTGCGGGCTCCTCCCTACTCAAGGTGATGGCCACTGACCCGGATGAGGGCGTCAACGCGGAGATCGCCTATGCCTTCATCAACATTGGTGAGGCAGTGAGGCAGCTGTTCAAGCTGGACAGTAAGACAGGGGAGCTCACCACTGGTGGAGCACTGGACTTTGAAAAGAGAGAGAGCTACACGCTTGGGGTGGAAGCCAAGGACGGAGGACATCACACTACTCGTTGTAAAATACAAATAGATATTTTGGATGAAAACGACAATGCCCCTGAGATTATCCTTGCTTCTGATACGAAACATATACAAGAAGATGCTGAGTTGGGAACCGTTGTTGCGCTGATCAAAACACATGATCTAGATTCAGGAGTGAATGGGGAAATCCTATGTCAACTGAAGGGAAATTTCCCACTTAAAGTAATTCAAGATACAAAAAATACATACAAGCTGGTGACAGATGGAACCCTGGACCGGGAACAGACCACTGAGTATAATATCACTATCATGGCCACTGACAAGGGCAAGCCAGCCCTCTCCTCCAGCATAAATTTCACCCTGCACATTGCCGATGTCAACGATAACGCTCCAGTTTTTCACAAAGCCTCTTACTTGGTCCATGTGGCCGAAAACAACCCTCCCGGCGCCTCTATTGCGCAAGTCAGCGCCTTAGACCCGGATCTAGGGCAAAATGGCCATGTTTCCTACTTCATAGTAGCCAGCGACCTGGAACCTCGAGCGCTGTCATCCTATGTGTCTGTGAGCGAGCAGAGCGGGGTGGTGTTCGCGCAGCGCGCCTTCGACCACGAGCAGCTGCGCGCCTTCGAGCTGACGCTGCAGGCGCGTGACCAGGGCTCACCAGCGCTCAGTGCCAACGTGAGCCTGCGCGTGCTGGTGGACGACCTCAACGACAACGCGCCGAAAGTACTGTACCCGGCGCTGGGACCCGACGGCTCTGCGCTCTTCGATACAGTGCCACGCGCCGCGCAGCCGGGCTACCTGGTCACCAAGGTGGTGGCGGTGGACGCAGACTCCGGGCACCACGCCTGGCTATCCTACCACGTGCTGCAGGCCAGCGAGCCCGGGCTCTTCAGCCTGGGGCTGCGCACGGGTGAGGTACGCACCGCTCGCGCCTTGGGCGACAGGGACGCAGCCCGCCAACGCCTGCTGGTAGCTGTGCGCGATGGAGGACAGCCACCCCTGTCCGCCACAGCCACGCTTCTCCTAGTCTTTGCTGACAGCTTGCAGGAGGCGCTACCAGACCTCAGCGACCACCCCGCGCCCTCTGACCCCCAGGCCGACCTGCAGTTTTACCTGGCCTTGGCTTTGACCTTGATCTCCGTGCTGTTCCTCCTTGCAGTAACTCTGGCCATTGCCCTGCACCTGCGACGCTCCTCCAGCCCCACCACCTGGGCCTGCTTTCAGCCACGTCTCAGCTCCAAGTCTGGACCAGGGATTCCCCCCAACTACAGCGAGGGGACTTTGCCTTATTCCTATAACCTATGTGCTGCCTCACATTCCTCAAAGACAGAGTTTAAATTTCTCAATATAAAGCCGGAAATCATTCCACCACAAGATCTTCTATGTGATGAAGCCTCTTGGGTGGAAAGTACCAGCAATGACAATCCCAAAACGACTTCCAATTCAGGCAATTTGCAACAGGTGAGTTTCTTCAAAACGCTTTCCTTTGATAAATGCAATTAGGTTTCAATTCATTACTTTAGAGTGAAAAAGTATACAAGGTAAATATGTTCCAATTTCATTGTGCTTTACTGATTTTTGTGGGCATTGAATGAAATAAGAAGCACATTGTGGGTTTATCTGTGTTGTGACTGTTTTTTTCTTAGAAGTGGCCATATGATGATCTTCATTTTTTTGTGAATCGTCAAACAACATAATCTGAACATTTTAATACATTAGTATGCTGCAATCTCATTGTGAGACATTATTGTAGCGTTATTATCTACAATTTAACACAAAGCTAGACAATTCAGTTTACTTAGTGGTGTTGTTTTTGTTGTTATGTACCATGGAGTCAGACCTGAGTCATAGCAACCTCTCCTTGCGTTTCCAACGCAGTATCACTACAGAAGTAGATTGCCCAAACTTCCTTCTGAGGAGTGGCTGGTGGGTTTGAACCGCCAGCTTTCTGGTTAGCAGTCAAGTGCCTTAGGCACTATGCTACCAGAGCTCCCAGTTTACTTCCTTTCAACTGATAAAAATTTTATTTGATGCTATCAACTCTGAATACAATGTAGCCTATGTATTTTCACTTTTTTCCATATTTCTAAAAGTGTTAAGAGATATTACCTGCGTCAGGGCAGTTCTTAATCTATATATTAATAGAAACAGATAATGGCATCTAAAAATAGTGACTCCTGCTAAACTGACACTGTAGTGGATAATGTTATATGTAGTGGATTATATATTACACAAAAATAAGACAACTGTAAATGATGGTGGAGTGTGAGAATTCAAGATTTACAGAAAAGTGTGATATTATATCTAAGACCCTCAGAGATAGTGTTACAGAAATGGGTAAGTTCTAGGGAACATTTATAATTATTCAAAACAAGCTCTTATTTTTCCAAATGATTCACTTTCTTGGGGAGAAAAATGTTATGTTATCTATGCAGATTTAGCAGAAATAAAATTCTCAATGATAGTTTCACAAACAGTGCAGTATTGTTTTAAAAAATGAAAAAACAGGTGTTGGTGGAGATGTTGAGAAATTGGAAATCTCACACATTGCTGGTGGAATGTAAAACAGTGCAGGTGCTGTAGAGAAAATGTTAATTATTTCTCAAAAAAATTAAGCATAGAATTACAATATGACTGAGCAATTCCACCACTTGATGTATACCCAAAAGAATTGAAATCAAGGACTTAAACAGATATCTGTACATCAGTGTTCATTTCAGCATTATTTATAACAGCTGAGATTGAAAACAACCCACACCTCATGCCCATGAACAGATGAATTGATAAGCACATGATATATACATATATATGTGTGTGTGTACACACACACACACACATATAAATATATATAAATGTTATTCAGCCATAAAGAAAAATGACGTTCTGAAACATGCTACAATATGGATGAATCTTGAAAGCATTATGTTGAGTAAAATAAGTCAGACACAAAAGGAAAAAATATGGATTGATTCCATCTATATGAAAGACAATAGGCAATTGTGTAGAGATCAAAGATGATTAAGGGGTTGGGGGGAAGGAATTCTGATGTGTGGTTAAAGCATTTGTCTGCTAACCAAAAGGTCGGTGGTTCGAACTTCCAGCTGCTTCACAGAAGAAAGATGAGACATTTTGCTTCTGTCAACTGTGAGTTGAAGTTCTTTTGGAGGGGAGAGGGGAATGGAGAGTTATTTCTGAAGGGGCACTGAGTTTGTTTGCAGTGACGAAAAATTGCTATGAAATAGTAGTAATGGTTGCACATTACTGTGCATGCAATTAACGTCACGGAATTGGACACTTAAATCGGTTAAAATGGCAAAGTTTATGTTGTATATATTTTACCACAAGAGAATTACAAGGAAAAAAAAAAAAAAAAAAAAAGGCGCAGTGTTAAATCAGGACTCTGAGTGTCGCTGTTCACCAACCTGGGCGAGAAAAGCGATGGGAACCGGAGTTCTAACTAGGCAACAAAAAGCAGATCAGACACAAGAGCTCTCCAGCTGCGCAGAAATTCGAACTGCTAAAGCTTCGCTTCGGGTCTCTCTCTCTCTTTTTTTTTTTAAAATGGATTTTGACCTCCAATTCTGAGAAGAACAAAGTGATGCGGACATATTTCGGTTACATAATTCCAAGGAAGTCCATGAGGAGCCAGTAATGGCGGCTCTGCAGGGGCGCTGGCACCGCAGCGGGCTGGTCCTGCTCTTAACGCTCCTGGAGACGCTGTGGGGGGCCCGAGCCGGCCAGATCCACTACTCCATTCCTGAGGAGCTGGAGAAAGGCTCTTTCATAGGGAACATCTCCAAGGACCTGGAGCTGGAGCCATGGGAGCTGGCGGAGCGCGGAGTCCGCATCGTCTCCAGAGGTAGGACACAGCTGTTCGCTCTGAACCCGCGAAGCGGCAGCCTGATCACCGCGGGCAGGATAGACCGGGAGGAGCTCTGCGCTCAGAGCGCGCGGTGTCTAGTGAATTTTAACATCCTTGTTGAGGATAAAATGAATCTTTATCCGGTGGAAGTGGAAATAATAGATATTAATGACAATACGCCACAATTCTTAACGGAAGAATTGGAAGTGAAAATTCTCGAAAACGCACCTCCATCCTCTCGTTTTCAATTAATGGAGGTCTATGACCTGGATGTGGGAATGAACTCGCTTCAGGGCTTCAAGCTCAATTCGAATAGTTACTTTTCAGTAGACGTGCAAAGCGAAGCCAATGTTGGGCCCAAGTACCCGGAGCTGGTGCTGGAGCGTGCCCTGGACCGTGAGAGAGAGGCCGTTCACCACCTCACCCTTATTGCCGTAGATGGTGGCAACCCCGTTCGCTCAGGCATGGCGCGAATTCAGGTAACTGTCCTAGATGCGAATGACAATGCTCCGGTGTTTACAAAGCCTATCTATCGGGTTAATATTCCTGAAAACCTGCCAGTAGGTACATCAGTGTTGTCGGTAAATGCCACGGACCAGGATGAAGGAGTCCACGCAGAAGTAACATATTCCTTCGTAAAGATAACTAAAAAGATCTCACAGATTTTCTGCTTGAATGGTTTGACTGGAGAAATATCAACTTGTGGTGATCTAGACTATGAGGAGTCAAGCTCCTATGAGCTGAGTGTTGAAGCCCAGGATAGGCCAGGTCTTCGAGACAGAGCCAAAGTCATCATAACTCTCTTAGATGTGAATGACAACGCACCAGAAGTAGTGGTTACATCCGGAAGCAGAACCATTGCTGAAAATGCGCCCCCAGGAACAGTAATTGCTCTTTTTCAAGTGCATGATCGAGATTCGGGACTGAATGGTCTGGTGACATGCTCGATCTCCAAAAGTCTGCCATTTGAATTGGAAAGATCTGTAGACAATTACTATCGATTAGTGACAAACACAGTCCTCGACCGAGAACAAGTGTCCTTGTACAACATCACCGTGACAACCACAGACAAAGGAACACCGCCCCTTTCTACAGAAATGCTCATCTCCCTAAATGTGGCAGACACCAATGACAATCCTCCCACCTTCTCCCATGTGTCCTATTCATTCTACGTCCCTGAGAACAACCCCAGAGGAGCCTCCATCTTCTCTGTGACGGCCCACGACCCTGACAGCGATGAGAATGCCCGAGTTACTTACTCCCTGGCTGAGGACACCATACAGGGGGCTCCCGTGTCCTCCTATGTCTCTATCAACTCTGACACTGGCATCCTATATGCACTACAGTCCTTTGACTATGAGCGTTTTCGAAACCTGCAACTGAGAGTGACTGCACGTGACAGTGGTGACCCACCACTCAGCAGTAATGTTTCGCTGAGTCTGTTAATTTTGGATCAGAATGACAATGCACCTGAGATCCTGTATCCCACCCTCCCCACTGATGGATCCACAGGTGTAGAGTTGGCTCCCCGCTCAGCGGAGCCTGGCTACCTAGTGACCAAGGTGGTGGCAGTGGATCGCGACTCGGGACAGAATGCCTGGCTGTCCTACCGCCTACTCAAGGCCAGTGAGCCAGGACTCTTCGTGGTAGGGGTGCACACAGGAGAGGTGCGAACAGCAAGAGCCATATTGGATAGAGACGCGCTCAAGCAGAACCTCATTGTGGCGGTCCAGGACCATGGCCATCCCCCTCTTTCAGCCACTGTCACCCTCACCGTTGCAGTGGCTGACAGCATCCCTGACGTCCTGGCCGACCTGAGCAGTTTAGCATCTCCCACGGACCCAGATGGCTCTGGCCTCACACTGTACCTCGTGATGGCTGTGGCTGCTGTCTCCTGCGTCTTCCTTGCCTTTGTTATTATGCTGCTGGTGCTCAGGCTGAGGCGCTGGCACATGAAGCATCTACTCCGGGCTTCAGGTGGCAAGTTGCCAAGCCTGCATGCCTCGCACTCTGTGGGTGTGGAAGGGGTGCGGGCTTTTCTGCAGACCTATTCCCACGAGGTTTCCCTTACCGCAGACTCCGGGAAGAGCCACATTATCTTCCCTCAACCCAACTATGCTGACACACTCATTAGTGCAGAGAGTTGTGGGAAAAGCGAGCCTCTTTTGATCCAGGAAGATTCAGGTGTTTGTAAAGAGGGAGACCCCTTCATTCAGGTGAGATTTTTGCTTTTATTGGTTTTATTTGAACAGGAAATTCTAAAATTCTGTTGAAATGTGCTTGTTTTACAGGGAATCATATAATTATCATGTAATTCTGGGAATGTTTTCCTTTATATCAATAGAGTTCTCTTAAATTTTAATTTTCTTGCATTTCATGAAAAAATACTTAATCTGTGTCCTAGATTTTCTTTCCCTTTCTTGGGTGGCAAACTCTTTATGCCTTGCAATGTGTACATCTCATTTCTTAGTTTTTATCTTTGATGTGATATTTGTGAGATCCTTTCCTTTTCTAATGTGGATAAAATATTCATTGTAAGCTCTGTGAAAGAAGATCAAGATAGAGTTTTTCTAAAATTGTGGCGATCCATGGGAGATCCATGAGAGATTAACTCCTTAGTGATAAATTTTCATAATTAAAGATGAGAGTACTTGATGTCTCTAACAGAAAGGACGTGGGCTTTAGTGTCCACCACCAGACAGGAGTAATAGCCCTGGAATTATTAGTTACTCATCTTGGCCAATTGTTATTTCTTTAGTCTTACATTTTAAATTATAATTTAAAAGGCTGCCTTAAATACTCACATAAAAACTAGAAGAATAAAGTAAATTTTGTAAGTTTTTCAAACTGTAAAATAGCATAGTGAACACGTATGTGTTGACATTGTCTCACTGCTGTTGAGTCAAGTCAACTCATAGACACCCCTCCTTGGATTTCTGAGGTGGTATCTCTATGGAAGTAGATTCCCCAGTTGTCTTTCTGAGGAGTAGCTGGTTTGAACCTCCAGCCTTCTGGTTAGCAGTCAGATGCCTTAGGTACTATGCTACCATAGCTCCCGTTGTTGACATTACCATTATTATAATTATTGGACTGTTAATAAGTAAATTTAAGCATCTAATGAGATTTGCCTACTACAATGTCTTCTATATTCTGTATTCTTGATAGTCTTTTTGAAATGAAATAAATTATGATCACTACAAGAAATATGTCTAAAATTACAGTATTGACTGGTGAGTGGGAGAATGAAGGAATAATAGTGTTGAGATAAGAATTTAAATAATCCAGCATATTAACTTAGATAAAATAATAAGCCTGTATCATATGTTGTTGTTAGCTTTCATTGACTTGCCCTCCCCCCAGAGTAACTCCATTCACAAAGAACACTGCATACTCCCGCACCATTCCCGTGATCAGTTGGAGAGCAGACCGATACACAGGGTTTTCAGTGGCTGGTTTTCAGAAATACATCACTAGGCCTTTCTTCCTAACCTATTAGTCTAGCAGCTCTGCTGAAACATGTTTGGTATCATAGCAACACACAATCCTCCACTAACAGATGGGTGGTAGCAACGTATGAGCTCCATTGGCTGGGAATCAACCTGGGTCTCCTGAAAGGTTTTGTAGAATAACTTTAAAAATGTGAGTACTAAAAAAGAAAAAAAAAATCACCCAAATCAAAATAAAATTAAAAAAAAAAAGTGAGTACTAGATATAATGTAGCTAACGTGTGTTTTATGTTCAGAACGTCTCTATAATCTTACTTAAATACATCTTATTTAGCTCCAAAGATGGTTCCAGAAGTAATACTTTATTGAGATATTTTAAAGAAAACTGTAGTAATAAGACATAAATATGAAACTATTAATTTTGAGGCAGCAGATAGAAATAGATCAAGATATTGGGAGCCATAACCTCCAGACATGAAAGTTTTGTTTAAAAATATCTATGTACTCATGATCTTTGATGACCATACACTTTACTTGCATCCATAAGAAGTTCAATATTACTACTAAACAAAGAGCATTTAATTCCTGTTTATGATAATCATACTAGTTGCTTGACTATTTGGTGGAAGCAATCATGACTATGAGTATTCTGATAGATTCAAACATCATTTCATTCAAACAAGTATTTCCTATATTTTGGAGAAATGCCATCAGCAGAAATAGACTACTTCATTTATAACCTCCTGCAAAACAAAGCTAAGTATTTTCTGTATTACTTCTGATTCTTTCTCCTGGTGCCACTAGCTATTGTCTGAGGCCTTAAAAATAATTCAGAAGGCAGGACTGTTTCCGACCAGATCTTTGTTCTGCAACTGTGTGGAAGGAATTTTGATTTTTACCATCAGCAACTGAGTTTTACTCCATCACTATCAAATGGGGGGGGGGCAGGTAAGTACTTATAAGGATCTCAAGGATTTCATTTTACTTGGATCCATAATCAGCACCCATGGAAGTGGCAGTCAAGAAATCAAATGATGTGTTTGTATTGGGTAAATCTGCTGCAAAAGACCTCTTTAAAGTGTTAAAAAGCAAAAATATCACCTGGAAGACTAAGGTGCACCTGCCCAAAGCCATGGTATTTTCAGTTGGCTCACATGCATATGAAAGCTGGACAATTAATAAGGAAGACTCTGGTGGCATAGTGCCTAAGGCATTTGACTGCTAACCAGAAGGCTGGTGGTTCAAACCCACCAGCCACTCCTCCAAAGGAAGACTGGGCAATGTACTTCTGCAGAGATATCACCTTGGAAACCCAAGGAGGGGTCACTATGAGTTGAATCAACATGAAGGCAGCGAGGTTGGTTTGGTTTTGGTTTGAAGAAGAACTGATGCTTTTGAATTACGTGTTGGCAAAGAATATTGAATATGCCATGGACTTCCAGAAGAACAAACAAATTTGCCTTGGAAGAAGTACAGCCACAATGCTCCTTAATACTTAAACAAAGTCCTTCAAGAAGTTTTGCAGGAGAGATGAGTCCCCAGAGAAGGACATCATCCTTGGTAAAATAGAGGATCAGCAAAAAAGAGGAAGACCCCCAACTAGATGGATGACACAGTGGCTGCAACAATAGGCTCCAACATAGCAACAATTGTGAGGATGAGGCAGGACTGGGCAGTGTTTCGTTCTGTTGTACACAGGGTTGCTAGGAGTCAGAACCAACTCAATAACACCTAACAACATCAACTAAGATCCTCTTGGAATCAACTCGATGACAAAGAGCAATACAACAAGAATCCTCTCAAGACGGTCTCATACACATGCTCAAAGGATGTCTAGAGACTTTCTCTTTAAAAATTATTCTGGACTAGAGTAGGATGAATATTTGAACTGTGTAATGAAAGAAGCAGTTAAGCCAACACCTGTTTTCCTGTGACTCCACTGCCAGAAGATCCCCTTTTCAAATCTCTGCATTCCGTACAAAGTGAGTTGCTCCTGTAGCTGGTAATTGCTGCTTGACTTCTAAACTCATCTCTAATGGCATTTCTTGAGCATGAAGTATCAGACACCACCAATCATGATTCCTGTTTCTATTCTCAGAAGGCTGTAAGTGAGGATATGTGAATTCTCACCTTGGTTCTACTATTGTATAATGAGAAACAAGGCAATCCCCTCGCATTTTTCATCTTTAAAGGAAAAGTATTGGACTTCCATCCAATTAAAATTTATATTTTTAAGAAAAGTTTGGCTCTCTGAGTTTTTCATGTGGTTTCTAGCTCATTGTATGTGTTCAATACTATTATTGAACTAATTAAAATGTATCACACCCTGGGATAAACATTTTTGTTGCCATGTACATAATTTTTATGAACTTTACCCTTTTCCCTGCAATGCCTGATTTTCCTACATGTGCAACAAAGTGTGAGGAGTACCCAAAAGAATCATTTCAAACTGGCACTGCAAAGCAGAGATATTTTTTAAATTTTAATCTAGGATTATCAAACACCATCTATGAGAACTGTTTAATTAATTCACAGTTTCTTAGGGTGGATTTTTTAAAAGTTATGTCAGAGGTATCTGGAGTGAAGAAATTTTACTCAAAAGGGAAAATTTGAAGCATGAAACAATTTTCTGAAAAATCAGTTTATTTTAGTTTGCTGTGGTGCAGTAACTTACTAAGAACTCTGAGTGCCGCTGTTCACCAACCAGGAAAATACGGTGCGAGAGATCCACCAGAACAACCGAGCTTTAACAGCGCAAAGACCTACAGAGACAAAGCCTCTTACTAGCTGCGTCAACCTAAGGCCTCCATTCTGCAGGGTTCTGGGGTCGCTTTCCGAACTCTGAGGGCTTTATTCGGATTCACAGGTATCCAGAATCACATCCTGAGACGGCTCAAGCAAGATCAGCAGCACAATGGCGGCTCCGCAGAGAGGCAGGGACTACAGAGGATTCGTCCTGCTCTCCATTCTCCTGGGGACACTGTGGGAAGGCTGGGCAGGCCATATTCGCTATTCCGTGCCAGAGGAGACCGAGAAAGGGTCTTTTGTGGGGAACATCGCCAAAGACCTGGGACTAGAGCCCCGGGAGCTGGCGGAGCGCGGAGTCCGCATCGTCTCTAGAGGTAGGACGCAGCTTTTCTCTCTGAACCCGCGAAGCGGCAGCCTGATCACAGAGGGCAGGATAGACCGGGAGGAGCTCTGCGCTCAAAGCGCGCGGTGTCTGGTGAATTTTAACATCCTGATGGAAGATAAAATGAATCTTTTCCCTGTTGAAGTGGAAATAATGGATGTTAATGACAATGCTCCAAGATTCTTGACGAAAGAAATGAACGTAAAAATAATGGAGAATACAGCTCCTGGGGTGCGCTTTCCGTTAAACGAGGCTAGAGATCCGGATGTGGGCACGAACTCTCTCCAGAGCTACCATCTCAGCCCCAATCACCACTTCTCCCTTGTAGTGCAAACTGGAGACGACGGAACCAAGTACCCGGAACTGGTGCTGGAGCAGGTACTGGATCGGGAGGAAAAGGCGGTTCACCATCTCCTGCTCACGGCCTCTGACGGAGGTGATCCACTCAGATCAGGCACGGCACGCATCCAAGTGACAGTGGTGGATGTGAATGACCACGCACCAGTTTTTCCTCTGGCCCAGTATCGAGTTACCGTCGCTGAGAACACGCCGGTGGGCACAACATTGCTCACTGTGAATGCTGTAGACCCGGATGACGGAATCAATGGGGAAGTGACATATTCTTTTCAGAAAATAACTCAAAAAATTCTACAAATATTCCAACTGAACTCCCTTACAGGAGAACTTTCAACTTTACAAGGCCTAGATTACGAAGAATCCAGCTTCTTTGAAATGGAAGTTCAGGCTCAGGATGGTCCTGGTAGTCTGACAAGGACAAAAGTGCTGATCACAATTTTGGATGTGAATGACAATGCTCCAGAAGTGACTGTAACGTCTGTGAGCAATTCAGTCCCTGAAGACACACTTCCTGGGACAGTAATTGCTCTTTTCTACCTGCAGGACCGAGATTCCGGGAGGAATGGGGAGGTAGCCTGCACCATTCCAGAAAATCTGCCTTTTAAATTAGAAAGATCAATTGACAATTATTATAGATTGGTGACAGCGGAAAACCTGGACCGGGAAAGACTCTCTGTCTATAACATCACAGTGAAAGCCACAGATGGCGGAACCCCTCCCCTGTCCACGGAAACTCACATCTCTATACAGGTGACAGACACCAACGACAACCCGCCCACCTTCTCCCACTTATCCTACTCGGTCTTCGTCCCTGAGAACAACCCCAGAGGGGCCTCCATCTTCTCAGTGACCGCCCATGACCCGGATAGCGACAAGAATGCCCAGGTTATTTACTCCTTGGCTGAAGACACCCTACAGGGGGCGCCCGTGACCTCCTATATCTCTATCAACTCTGACACTGGCGTCCTGTACGCGCTGCAATCCTTTGACTATGAGCAGTTTCGAAAGCTGCAATTTAGAGTGACGGCGCGTGACAGCGGTGACCCACCACTCAGCAGCAACGTGTCACTAAGCCTGTTCATTCTGGACAAGAATGACAATGCGCCGGAGATCCTGTACCCCGCTCTTCCCACGGACGATTCCACCGGCATGGAGTTGGCTCCCCGCTCCGCAGAGCCTGGCTACCTGGTGACCAAGGTAGTGGCAGTAGACCGCGACTCAGGGCAGAACGCCTGGCTATCATACCGCCTGCTCAAAGCCAGCGAGCCAGGGCTCTTTGCGGTGGGGGTGCACACGGGCGAGGTGCGAACGGCGCGGGTCTTGCAGGAGAGGGATGCCCTCAAACAGAGCCTCGTGGTGGCCGTGCAGGACCATGGCCAGCCTCCTCTCTCAGCCACTGTCACGCTTACCGTGGCTGTGGCTGACAGCATCCCCGAAGTCCTGGCCGACCTGAGTAGCTTAGCATCTCCCACTGACCGAGACGACTCTGGCCTGACACTGTACCTGGTGGTGGCTGTGGCAGCTGTCTCTTGTGTGTTCCTCGCCTTTGTCATCGTGCTGTTGGCGCTCAGGCTGAGGCGCTGGCACACGTCCCGCCTGCTCCAGGCTTCGGGGGTCGGGTTGGTGGGTACATCCGCCTCGCACTTTGTAGGCGTGGACGGAATGCGAGCTTTCCTGCAGACTTACTCCCATGAGGTCTCCCTCACCGCGGACTCTCGGAAGAGTCACTTGATCTTCCCCCAACCTAACTACGCAGACACACTCATCAGCCAAGAGAGCTGTGAGAAAAACGATCCCTTATTAACATCCATAGATTTTCATGAATGTAAGGATGAAGCACCAAATACTCAGGTGAGTTCAGCCTTCATTTATTTTTATTTCCAAAAGGAACTATATTTCTGGTTATTTTCTTACTGTCTTGTGAAGCAAATATATTTTTTAATAGGGGTAAAAAATTTAAACAGGTAAAACAAATGTAGATGTTTATTTTGGTGGTGATACTTTAAAATGAAGAGCTCTGGTAGCATAGTTCCTAAGGCACTTGACTGCTAACCAGAAGGCTGGCGGTTCAAACCCACCAGCCGCTCCTTGGAAGGAAGGTTGGGCAATCCTACTTCTGTAGTGATACTGCCTTGGAAACCCAAGGAGGGGCCGCTATGAGTCAGGGCCGACTCAAGGACAAACAACAACAACTTTAAAATGGAACATAGGTTGACATAGATTTGGTATAATTTGTTTCTTGGAAGCCTATGAACAAGTTCATGAATAAGTGCACTAGGCATTGTCTATCTTCTACCTATTTTCCACTTGGCTTTCTTAACCCAGGTACTTTACAGATGAGGACGAATAATGAATTGCTGAGCCTTTTCTCACTGTGCTAGGCTAGCAAAAGTGAAGCACACTTCAGCCTTGTTCTTAGAATTCAGATCTGCAGCTTTTTTCTGTGTATTGCTTCTGCTTCCATCTACCTCACTTGGATGTCCCTGGAAAAACTCAGAGGCTTTCTGACCTATTTAAATCGCAATCCTCTGTTAAAGTTGGAGTCCTGAGGGGAAGGTTAGATTGGCCCCTAAAGAATGAAATGCTTGTGTCAAATTTCACTAAGTTCTATATCAGTGGCAGAAAGAGTTGAATGCCACAATAAAGGTTATTGGGCAAAAGCAATAAGACATGCTATCAAATAAAACGTCATTTCAAGTGTTGTAAGTATTTATGAAGTAGAGTTACATGTGTCAACATGGAATTCCAATGTGAAGTGTGCCTGTGGACATCCCAAGAGGGAGACTGGAAATGCTGGCTTTATGAAACAAAAATTTCATAATTCAACTCCTAGAGGAGCAGTGGATTTACTTATTAGGACTGCTGAAAAATTCAATTGGAAATAGCAATCTGGAATTAACTACTTCCGTATTCCTTTGTATAATGTTTCAGTAAAGTTCAATACATCAAGTGATTATCATCTGGTAGGGGTGGAGGACAAAGTAATCTTGATTCCTGGGACTTTCAAATGTTAATTTAAAATACTTTCAGATGATGTAGTGTTTTCTTTTGTATTTTGCATCTAAAGGATGGGGCGATGAAGGTGTGAATATATTTCAGTCAGTCTTCAGTGGTGAGATGTGCAAACATTTGTGGAGAAAATAATGTGACTAACACTTTGTGAGGAAAAAATCTTCTGGCAGAATTATGGTCATCAGATAATTCAAAAAAGAAAATCTGGAGCCCTAAATCTATTAAATGCTTAAAAATAATTTTGGGAGCTCAGATGGCTTAGTGCCTAAGGCATTTGACTGATAACCAGAGGGCTGGCAGTTCAAACCCACCAGCCACTCCTCAGAAGGAAGATAGGGCAATCTACTTCCATAGAGATACCACCTTGGAAACCCAAGGGGGGGTTGCTATGAGTCAGAAACAACTTGACAGCAGTGAATTTGGTTTGGTTAGAAAAATAATTTTAGACAAGGAAGGTAAATCATCACTAAACTCAGTGAGCTATGACAACTATACTTTCCATGGTCTTATTTCCTTCCACTCTGAGGTCATCATGGGTTGTAATATAAGTGCAAAGGCAGGAAACTGTGCCTCAGTGCAATAGACCACTCTGCTAAGTGACTTTGTGTTGCATGGGTAGATATTATTCCCTTATTTACTCTGAAAAGTGATGTATTGATATTGTAGTTGGGTGAATAATTACATAGTGGGAAGAAGGATCTGATAGGCTAACCCATTTCCTGCCACCATCTTTTCCATAACCGAATGTTACTTAATACAGTACAAGTGAGAATCAGATAATATTACTACAAGAGATTATTCAAAAATGTTTTGGAATAAAATAAATGTTGGGGATAAGTATAAAATTGTATCCTTCTTTAAAAGATAAATTCAGCATTACTGGTACTTCTGGGGGGGAAAAATTGCAGTGAATCAGCATGGAGGTAACTAGAAAAGTGGAGAAAAACTTAATGAAAAGGAAATAAGGATAAAAATTTATCCAACACATTGCTAATTAATAAATAATCAAAATCGCTGGACTCCGAGATCATTTTGGGCAAAATCTGTGCTGTATTCATCTATATCACCAGTGTGTATTTGAAATGGAGGAATGATTGTGTCAACATATAGATGTTTGTGTATTAAATCCACATGATTTCCCTAAAATCCATGGAAGTTGGAATAGAGACGTTTGTAAGAGTCTCATTTAAACCTTATTAAATATATAGACGTATAAACATTGTGTGTGCAGTTACGCACACAATTATGATTGGAACTAGTTAAACTGAAGCAGCGAAGGCTGCAGTTTCCTAGAAAGGACTGTGGGCGCCGCTGTTGGCCAAAGTGGAGCGCTTGGTGCGCGAGATCTCCTTGCGCAGCCGCAGCACACTTTCCAGGGCAGCCCCATCTCAGACTCGCTTACGCGAGCATTTCACCACTTCCTCCTCTGGAAAAGACAAATTCCCGG